ATTGAAAGCCTTTTCTTAAGAGATGTTTGGTATGTTCCCCAGATTAGCAAAAACCATTTTCTCAGTGCTTAGTTCACAGGATAGAAATCCCACTAGCCTGTTTGAGTCAAGGGGACAAAATGTTCAATGAAGGTTAATGATGGTATTGTTTTAACAGGGAAAAGGCAAAGGTATTGTGGTCTGTATAAGATAGATTGCAAAGCCGTACGGCCTGCTGTTTCAATCAATTTAATTGAGCATGGAGATAAACTTCAATTATACCATAAAAGGTTAGGACATCAAAATAAACAGTATGTCAAGAGATTGATAGAGAGAGAACTAGAAATAAAGACGTCAGATAATGAAGAACTATGCGAAGGGTGTGTTTTTGGAAAAGCACATATTTGGTGTTCGTGAAAAAGCTACCAAGTCTGGTGAACGTATACACTCTGACGTTTATGGTCAGATAATATTTCTGGATATCGATACTTCGTATTATTCAAGGATGAGTTTACACGATACAGATATGCGTATTTCTTGAAAAATAAATCCGATGTATATAAAAATCTGAAACAAATGCTGTCTGAGGCTAAAAATGCTGGACACGTTGTCAAGGAGCTTTTAAGTGATAATGGGGAGAATACAATAATAAGAGAGTACGAGATCTACTTGAACAAAGTGGAATAAAGCAAAGGCTTATTACGCCTTACACGCCAGAACAGAATGGGTGTCGGGAAAGGAAAAACCGCACTGTAGTGGAAGCTGCAAGAGCAATGATGCACGCGCATGAAGAGTTACCTCAGAATTTGTGGGCTGAGACGGTAAATACTGCCGTTTACATTCTAAACAGGAGAGGGCCAACTACAGTGGAACACAAATCGCCTTATGAACTTTGGATTAATAAGAAGCCTCGGATAAAGCACTTGAGGATAATTGGTTCACTTTGCTTTGAGCATGTACCAAAGCAGAGTAGAAAGAAAATGCAAAAGAAAGCTACATGTTGCGTTTTAATTGGCTACAACGATGATGATGGGTATAGACTTTGGAACCTGAATAAAAATTCATTGGTAAAGTCTAGAGACGTTATATTCGATGAAAAAACTTTAAGAACTTCAATGAAATGAACCTGTAAATTATGAAAATGAAGTTGAGGTGGATCTTTCTAGAAGTTTTTCTACAGCTAATAAAATAAAAGTACAAAATGGGACCGATGAACAAAATTTGGAAGCCGATGAGGAATATCATGATGCTCAAAACATTTTGCCAGAAAAGTCTATTGAATCGGGGGGAATAATATTGTTAACGAAGCTGATACCATTGATGAAGATAACGATGACGAAGGTGATATCATTGGTGAAGATAATGCCATAGATGAAGGTATTTTAAGTCAAGATCACGTCGTTTATGAAGACATATTCCCGGATCAGATGATACTTCGTGATCGCTCTTCATTACGTGCCCCATATCGATTCAAAGACTTTATTATGAATGCTGTAATGGGATACACCGAGCCAACATCGCATAAAGAAGCAATTAGAAGCCCGGAAAAGAAACTATGGAAGGAAACCATGGACAGCGAAATTAACTTATTAAAAGAAAATGATACGTGGAAGCTTGTAAACCTACCGAAAGCAAGAAAAGCCATACCCTGCAAGTGGGTATTTCGAGCTAAAATGAACGCTGATGGCTCTGTAGATAAATATAAGGCAAGACTGGTAATTAAAGGTTTTCACCAGAAAAAGGGCATTGACTACGAACAGGAGTTTAGCCCGGTTACTAGGATGGGAACCGGTCGCTCTGTGATGAGTGTAGCAGCTAGCGAAGGAATGGCGATGCTCCAGTTTGATATTACAACTGCCTTCTTACATGGGTCTCTGGATGAAGAATTTTTTATGAAATAACCGGAAGGCTACGACGACAGTTCGAGTCGAGTTTGTCTTTTGCAGAAAAGTCTTTATGGGTTAAAGCAAGCACCGCGATGCTGGAACCGTTGTATTACAGACTTCTTCAATGAAATTGGTTTTAAGACGAGCGAAGCAGATCCATGTCTTTTGATAAAAAAAAACAGCGTTCGGAAAAGTGATCGTGGCTTTGTACGTGGATGATGGCCTGGTCGCTGGATCAAGTCAAGTTCTGCTAGACGAGTTAATTAAGGAACTCAATGGTCGGTTCCAGATAACCACAAAGCCTGTTTCTTATTTCTTAGGAATTTAGATAGAGAGCAGAGGAGATCGAATCAAAATATATCAAACTTCTTATGTACAGAAGATCTTGAGGAAATTTGGGATGGATATTTGTAAACCGGTCTCGACGCCGATTGTAAAAGACAGTACGTCAAGCAAGAAAGTGGATATGAGTTATATGATAAATAATTACAGATCAATCGTTGGAGCCTTGGCATACTTAATGGTATGCACTAGACCTGACGTTTGCATATGCTGTCAGTGTAGTATCACGGAGTTTGGACAACCAGAAAAGGCAGACGGTGTGCAACTGAAGCACATAATGCGGTATTTGCAGTACACACCAGATCTAGGTATCAGGTATAAGAAAAATTACAAACAAGGCATTTTGGAATTTTACAGCGATGCTGATCATGCGGGGGATATCAGCACTGGAAGATCCACAAGTGGGGTGCTGTGCATGTATGCGGGAGGAGCCATCCCGTGGTTAAGTCAAAGACGACATGTGTCTCAATTTCCACTACAGAGGCTGAAATTGTAGCGGCTAGCGAAACTGCTAGAGAAACTATATGGCTGTCTCGACTAATAAAGGATCTTGTTAATCTTAAGAAGATTCCGTGTTTAAGAGTTGATAACGAAGCTGCTATAAGGTTAGCAGAAAATCCTGAATTTCACCGTCGTACTAAACATATCCGGGTGCGACATTTTTTTTCTTAGAGAGCTGGCAAATAGTGGTGATCTGAACGTCGACAAGGTGACTAGTGAAGATCAGCTGGCTGATATTTTCACGAAACCACTTGCCAGACCCAGGATTAAGAGGATTTCAGAACAAATAGGTCTCTGTTGAGAGATGTTAAAAAAATAGGGTTACTATGACAACTAGAACCTGTTTGTTTGTTTTGTTTGAAATCTGTCAATAAAAGAAAAACTCTAAGTAGGTACTTTACAAATCTATTTATTTGTGTTTATCTAGGTTAATTAAGCAAGTTTAAGCTTTCCACATCTTCTAATCACCACTCAAACTCTAACTGGGACAAGGCCAGACATAGCGTATGCTGTCTGTGTGGTGTCAAGAAGCCTCGATAGCCCTACTGATGATGACTGTGTCAGGGTGAAGCGGATTATGAGATATCTGCAGTATACTTCAGATTTCGGGATCAATTATGGCAGAAATAAGAGTGTTCTGGAATGCTTCAGTGATGCAGATCATGGCGGAGACGTACGTACGGGGCGCTCAACCACAGGAGTGCTATGCATGTATGCCGGAGGAGCTATTACGTGGATGAGCAAGAAACAACAAAGTGTAGCCATTTCGACCACAGAGATGGAGATTGTAGCTGCTAGCGAAGGTGCAAGGGAGTGTGCCTGGTTAGCTCGGGTTATGGCGTCTAATTGAAGTTAAAGCTAAACCAACTTTGCAAGTTGATAACGAGGCAGCAATAAGACTAGCAGAAAACCCAGAATTTCATCGGCGTACAAAGCATATCCTAATACGTCATTTTTTCATCAGAGAGCTGGTAACTAAGAGAGATTACAGTAAATGTGTCAAGTGACGGACAACTAGCGGATATTTTTACCAAAGTTCTACCGAGACCCAGGTTACAAAAATTAGTCTGTCGATTGGGTATTCATTGAGAGATGTTAGAGTTTGATCATGATGTTCAACGAAACTCAATGATCAAAAAGAAGAAATATGTTTAAATATAGCTTATCAAAAAAAATGTCGGAAAAATATAAAGAGTGATAGCAAAATGTATTTACAATTTTATTTATAAATAGTATTAGCAAAGTGTAGTAAATACTTCAACTATAAGTTCTAAGTCGAACTAGCCAAGATAAAGGCGTGTACTATGCCGACGTTCAAAATAACATCTCAGTGAAACCATGGTTTTTTAAGTTTAGCGACGCTAGTAAGGCAACCACTTCTACGATCTGTAGATTGAGACTGGGCCACACTTGTTCCCCTGTGTTCCTCAATAAAACCCGTGTCAGAAACAACTCTTTGTGTGAATGTGGTCTGGTACCCTTGATCACATTTTCTTTGAATGTCCTAAATTGACTTAGGTAGTCCTTGTATGATCTCCTTCCTTCCTTCACTCCTCGTCCTATTAACCTTAAATCCCTCCTTCTTTATGTGTATTCTCCCTTTATTAACATTTTGTGTGATTTTATACGCTCTAATAATATAATGCTTTAGTCCGTTGTTTGTCCATGATTGTTTTTTTACCCCAGGTATGATCTTCACAACAGCATTTCGTCGAAGAGACTCTTCTTCTTCTTTTAAATGTTATGGCTCCATCGAAATAATCAATGATTTTGCCAATGTCAAGTAAAAATAACTATGTACGGTAGTTTAATATTATTATAAAAATTATACAAAAAAAATGGCGATTTCGCCAATGTCCTGTCAGAGACTCATCTAAAAATAAATACCTTGCTGCTACCGAACGTTGACGTTATTGAACAATATTAACTGACAACATTAATCGAAACTGGCACTGGCCCAAGCCTAGTGGCCGCCATTAAGGAAATAGAATAGTATAGAAAAATATTGAACGAAAACAATGGAGCAAAGATTTATTTTACTGATTTTTCAATCATTATATATATCATTGTTTTATGTCTCGTTTTATTTCTAACTTGTGTTTAGCTATATAATTTTATTTTAATAATTTTAAGAATACTTCAAATGATAAGTCTAAACATAGAACATAATAATTTAGTAAGCCTTCATAAATCCCTACTTTACTGTCATAAGTGTCATATTGTGGTCAGCAGGTCATAGTGCATGCAGTTGAATCACGTTCATGTTGATTCGATCGAATATGAAAATAAATTATTTTGGCATTCATTCGTACAGGTCCAGATTAATAGCAAACAACGGCACAATGTTTTATTTAATTGGTTTAGGTCTCGGAGACGCAAAGGATATAACCGTTCGGGGTTTAGAAATAGTTAAAAAGTGTGATAAAGTTTTGCTGGAAGCATATACATCAGTACTTACTGTGGGCAAAGAAGTACTAGTAAGCAATTTAAATACATTTTAGATTTACAGTAAAATAATATGCAAATTTTAATAAGGTACTTAATACTTATTTCGATTTTGTACGTAATAGTAGAGGTTACTTACATTACTCCACCTCAACAGGTACTTACTCTAATTGAATACTTATTAATCAATATTAAACATGCCTACTTTAGGAAGACTTCTACAACAGGCCACTTATCATTGCTGACAGAGAGCTGTGTGAAGGTAACATAGATGATTTCCTCAAAGAAGCCAAGGACAAAGATGTAGCACTACTGGTGGTTGGTGATCCTTTGGGAGCTACAACTCATAGTGATATGCTCTTAAGAGCTCGGCAGTATGGAGTGGAATTTCAGGTGTTTACTTTTATTTTGATTATTATAACTTCATGATTATTCCACTTTTATTCAACATCACTTTATAAATTTTGAAAATTAGTGACAACTTGGTACTTGATGTAACGGGCTGGTGTCCACAACTTGATGACAAAGCGCCTATTTTGCGTCAGTGTCAGGTGGGTGCAGGGTCCTACTCGCGCCACCCAAGCTCCTCCAGGAATCTCAGCAACCTCCTCAGTTTGCTGAAGATTTCAGGGAGCGACCTCGGTACTCCTAGGTACTTTGCCCTGTAGCTGGCCATGCTGGAGCACTGTAGTAGGATGTGCGCGGCCGTTTCCCCCCCTCCATGCACGCTCTGCATGGAGGGCTGTCCGTGATACCTAAATTAAAAAGGTGTTTATTGTATGGACCATGACCCATTAGGGCGGCAGTCAGAGTGCGAAGTTCTTGCCTTTTAAGTTTGATTAATTTTCGAGATAAACTAGCGTTGAGCGTCGGGAGTGCTATATATACCCATGCATTCAGCCTGGAATACTGTGTTGTGATCACCAAATGGTCTTGATATCCTGATATTGAGGTCTTCTGAGAATACCCCAGTACTTGTTCCTGAATTTGTTTTAGATCCATCAGTGAAGATGCGGACCTCTCTGAGATTCAGTCCTTCATTGGGATCTTCAAACAATTGTATCTTGTATTTTTTGTCAAAAACGTATTGTTTCGGAATCCTATCCACAGCCACCTCCAGTAGTGGTTCTTCTTTAACAGTTATGTAAAGTATTTCTGTATGTGGGGTCCTCATGTGCTCCCAAAGGCCTGCTCTGTTTAGACGCACTGGTGTTGACGCCGCTTCTTATTTAATGAACAGTGGGAGCGGTCGCAGGTCGAGCATCGCTTCAATTTCCGCAGTTGGAGTTGTACTCATGCAGCCCATCGTCGCCATGCAAGCTAGTCTTTGGAATTTGTCCAGCTTGTCGGTTGCGGTCGTCGGATTGGTTCGTGGCCACCATACTATCGCACCGTAACTGATCATGGGTCTTATCACCGCTGTGTAGAGCCATAGTGTTATCTTGGGTAAAAGTCCCCATTGTTTACCTACCATACTATGGCACTGCCAGAAGGTGATAGTAGCTTTTTAATTTTGTTGTCCAGGTGCTTGTTCCAGTTCAACTTGTTGTCCAGTATTACCGCCAGGTACTTGGCTTCGGTTGATAACTGTAGTTTTGTACTGAAGAGTTTGGGTAGTAGGTTTACACAGTAGTCTTTTGTTTGTAAACATAACTAGTTCTGTCTTCGTTCGATTTACCGATGGTTCATATGCTCTACACCATCTTTCCACAATCCGGAGTGCTGCCTGTGTGATGTCGCAGATTGTAATGGCATAGTTTCCTGTTATCTAATAACTAATATAATAACTATACTTAGTTATGTCTTCAGCATAGCCTGCTGTATAGAAATGTTCCTTGTTTAGTTTGACGAGATCATTTACAACCATGTTCCATAGCAGCGGCGACAGTACACCTCCTTGGGTACACCCCTTCGCTACTACAACCCATGGGGTCTGGTTTGTTGATGTTCTTAGTGTTCTTTTTTTGAGCATGTTGCTAATCCAGCTGGTTAGCACTTCATCCACTTCGTGTCTTCACAGTGCTGATTGTATGCTGGAGAAATTTGTTTTATCGAATGCTCCTTCAATGTCTATAAAGATGCCTAGGCAGATTGCCTTGTTTTTGATGGCGTCTTCTATCTTGCCGACATGTATGGCCGATTCAGTGAACTTGCCTTGGCTGTATGCATGTTGGTTTCCGTTTAAATGTATGTTCTTTAGGGCGCCGTCTCACAGTTCTCTTCACGAAGTGAGGCTGATTGGCCTGAAGGATATTGCGTCTGTGTAGTCATTTTTACCTGGCTTCAGTATGAATGTGACTTTTACTTCTCTTCAGCTATGAGGCACATAGTTGAATGCTAGACAGGCCTAATAGCCCCATTGTAAGAGTGCGGGGAACACTCCATCTTGGCCCGGAGCTTTGTATGGTTCAAAGGTGTTTACTGCCCATTTCGTCTTTTCGTATGTTACTACTTGTTCAGCGTATCGCCAACTATGGGTCGATGTGTCGTAGTTTATTTCTTCGCACCTGTCATCTTGGACGAACCTGCATACCGGGAAATGAGCTTCCAGTAGGGTTCTCTCCGTTTATGCAGGGGAAGTTCTGAATGTGTTGTCTATTTTGTGTATCGAACCTAACTCAGTTGAATTTGAGTTGACTAGGATTTTTCTTATTCTATTCGCTTATGCATAAGACGTGATGTTTCCGCACTAGCCTCGCCATGATGCGGTGCTCCTGAACTGTATGCGCTTTTTTAGTTTGGATTTGGCAGTCTTGTAGTTTTCCCAGTCCTCATCCACGCATGTGTTCATTACTCTATTGAAGCATCTCCTTACCCTTTTACGTAGCTCAGGCCCCCACTAGTGTTGGCCTTGTCGCAGGGCTGACTCGCTTAGTGCGAGATGCGAAGTTTTATTATATAGTTTTATGTCAATTCTTTGACCTGTGTTTCAATCTGTGTCGTATCCAGCAGTCTTTCCGGTCCCTTTAGGCTCTGGTCTAGTGTGTCAATGTAAAGTTTACGATCGGTTTTTCGGGGATTCCGTTTCGGTTGTTGTAATTTGATATTTGTTTCTAAGGTGAATCTTATCCATCTCTGGTCCGAGAAAGGTGCTCCTTCGGACACGTGCCAGTTGTGGATAAGATCCACTGCTCTTTTTGAAGGTTAGTTATGAATAAGTATTCTGTTAGGTTCTTACCTCCATCATTTGCGAGTTCCATACCCCACAACGGATGGTGGGCATTGGAGTCAGTAGCCACGATGATATTCAGGCCGTTCTACTCGCATTAGTTGATTAGCTACCATTTCCTACGGTGGTGGCACATCAGTCTCCGCCATATAGACAGAGGCCAGCACCACTTCAGGCAGGCCCGTGGCCGCGTCAGCTAAAAGCTTTACGGCATACAGGTCTCTGGAACAGAATTGTGTTGGTGACTTGTGTTAGTGTGTGTTAGTGGCTGTACATATAAGTTATTAGAGTAATATATGTAAGTTCTAGGCTTATCTGAGATGGTAGTTGATAATAGCTTACCTCACAGATGTGAGAGTCCCTTTATTTGGCCACGGGCACTAATCCACGGTTCCTGGATTAGCGCCATGGTTGTGTTGTTAGCCTCCAACCACTTCCGGAGCTGAAACGTTGCGGCCTTTTTTTTACCGGAGGGAGACTCACGGGCTATGTGGGGACTCTCCCTCCAGACTGGAGTGCCTATCCCGCTAAAGCAACAGGAACAGGAAGGTTAGGCGCCGGACATGCCCCAGGACAGCAGGGACGAGTTCTTCCGGGAGTCTCACCGCCACGAAGGAGTGAAGTGGAAGAAGTGTTCACTATGCTGCTGCAGCTTGGGAACAACCCAGCGGTGAACCTCCGCCCACGGGTTTTGCCACTTGAGGATGCGGCCCGGACGGCCTTCCTTGTTTTTGCGGGCAGGGTGTCCCCTGCTCCCATTGGGGGCTGAAGGTGGACGCTCGCCGTGGCCACTTGCTCCTTCCTTACGGATGGGTGCCGTGGCCTTGGATTTGGGCTTGCGACTCACCAGGGTCCACCCTGCCTCGAGGGCCGTGTTTGAGGGGTTCTGCAACGCAGAACCCGTTGTGTGAGCGGGGGCCGCAGAACCTAAGGTTTGGGCCACTACCGCTGTGTGGTGCTAGCACCAACATCGGTGCTTGGTTGACATTGGGGTTTCCCCTTTGGCCTACCACTTACCGTTGGACGCTGTGTGTATGTATGTGTTGTTGGGGCACTTTTGGGTTATCCCCTCCAGTACTGCCTGTTCAGGGTTATTCATATAATTGGAAGAACGATCATTGGTGTCCATATTATTGTACGTTGTATTCACTCTCCTGATTTCCCACCCACCACGGAACCCGCACCTTTGGGGATGTCCCATTCGGGACACCAGGATTACCAGGAGAGTATAGGTGCAGAAATTAGGAGCTCACTGCGCGACATCGGGGGCTCGAAATGTGCGGCTGGTGTTCCGCACATACTCACCCCGTCAGCATGGCCGAGTCCGTCCCCTCCGCACCTCGCCTGTGGCCCTCTGACGGGACACAATGCCGTTTCCCTGTGTTGGCTAGTCACAGGGCTACCGTTTAGCAGGAAATCAGGGCCGAAGAGGGCCTATTGCTTGCTGGGATCCCCACCCCGCTCGGGCTCAACCTCCCAGGGTTCCTTCATCCCTGCGTACGGCCCTCAACTGCGTAGGCATTAACGCAGAAGGGTGGAAATTAAGACTGCCCACCACTTGCCATGGTCCACCCCCCGAAACACATGGCCGGGCCGTGTTGATCGCTTCGCGCCCTCACTGGTAAGTCTCAGTCTGAAGCCGAGAGTTGTCAGTGTTGGCCCCAGGGTGTACCAGCTACATCCTTGGGGATTCTGTGACAACATGTTATAACAGACTGCTCAAGTACTTCACACGCGTGGAGGTGGAACAACCCCTAAAAACATTGTAATTGGGGTGCTAAATACACATCTGATAAATTTTGATTCTAATTCTCATTTAATTGACTTGTCGCATTGTGTTTAAAACCATTTTCAAATATATTTTTAAAGCGGATTTAGCGGTTGCTCTTCGGGTTGGATAGATTATTTGTAGAACATACAAAAACTACCATTTGGCATTAAAAAGAAGGAATAAATTAAAATGTGCAAATAAATTATGATAAGTTTGTGCACTAATGTATTAAGATCATTCTTAGTTTTAAGTAGTCATAATGCAACAACAGCCACAGGATAGGGAGGACCCCTATGTTGAAAGACAAATAGATGATTTGGAGAAAATATAATAATTTTTAACAAAAATTTATTGAAAACTATTCATTTGCAACAGTTAAATATTAGGTAACTTTAATTTTTTTTAATTATTAACTTTATCCATTAATCTGTAACTTTTAATTTTAGAATGGATAATTCATTTTATCAATGAACTGTATTAGTACATTGTAAAACAATGTATCAGTGACAAAGCCTATATATTACGTTAGTGATTTGCATTAAAAAAAAATTATTTTAATTTCTTTTTCAGGTAGTGCACAATGCTTCAATTATAAACGCTGTAAGCTGCTGTGGACTCCAACTTTACAATTTTGGTGAAACTGTTTCAATTCCCTATTGGACAGAAACATGGCAGCCAGATAGCTGGTTTCAGAAAATTATTGAAAATTTTTCAAGAAACTTGCACACACTTTGCTTATTAGGTCAGTTATTACAAAAAAAACCTTAAAATGTAAATGTTGTAAAGTCAACAGCACATCGAGCTATACACTTTTGTTCGAAAATCAACTCTAGTGCATTGGAACAACAAGATCCGTCAATGTGCTGCCGTCGTACATATAGGAAATTAATTAATTAGTTTCCTTAAGTTTTCCTCTTGTGTGGTTCCTAATACGTCAATATAGACCACATAATGGCATGATGTAAGGAAAAGCAACATTTGATGCAAAGTACTCATATATTATGACCTGTATCTCCAGATATCAAAGTAAAAGAGTAATTATTATAATATGACCATATTTTCAGACATCAAAGTAAAAGAGCCAACTGAAGAGTCTCTGACAAAGAAAGTAAGGCAGTATATGGATCCAAAATTTATGTCCGTCAAAGAAGCAGCATCACAGTTAGTTAAAGTTATCGAAAGAAATCCTGACTCAGGTGTGGACAGATATTTCATTTAATTTTTAAATTGCACTAATTGTTATTATGTATTCCAAATCTGACGCTCTTGAATTATTATGACACGCACTAACTAATTAGGATACCACATATATCATTTATTATTGTATTTTTACTTGACATATTATCTGAAAATATATATATTATTAAACCTACCCTACTTATTTAGGTATGACACAGGAGAGTCTTGCAGTAGGTCTATCAAGAGTTGGATCGCCAGAACAAAAAATCGCAGTTCGGAGTCTGCAGGTGATGCAAGATTGCGATCTCGGTCCGCCGTTACACAGTCTCGTCATTCCCGCGCCCACCCTACATCCGCTCGAACTCGAATATCTAGCGCAGTTCAGATAGTACAAATCACTATAATAAAATGTTTGATATGACTTGTTTTGTTTAATTTGTTTCGAAAAGTGTACGAAAAATAAGTTTTTGTAAAATGTTGTAAATGAGACACAACATAGGAAGTAAAGTAATTAATATATTTTTATTATTTACAATGATAATAATTAAACCATAATACAAACAGAATTCGAGCTGCTACCATACAAAATAACATTCAAACTCATAATTGGTCCACCAAGCTACCACAAATTACTATAACAAAATTATTTAAATCATTCTGAATCATAAATGTTAAAAAGGTACATTAATTATTATTTGGTCTAAGTTTCACATTTATATAAATAAAGAAATTATTATATTATGTAATATACAAATAACGGAATGTAGAGATACCAAAGGTGTATACGCGAAAATTTCACCTTATAATTTTGGTATACATCAAACATTTCTAGATAAAAACTGGAAAATGGTGGGTCACATTCACATTACAAATAATTAATAGTAAAGTTCAGACGCATGGCTAACATGGAATTTTACATTATGTAACACTAGGACATTGGCTTAATAACATAATTATACAGTCTTTAAACTTAGTTGTAAAGGGTACATACATAATTTTAATAATAATAATTAAAGATAAATTCATATAACTCGTGCTTTCTATTCATGAAGTGAGATTACAAAAACAGTGATCTAGTTATTTAAATAGACATTGATTTAGTTAGAGTATTAAAAATTCAAACGGCTGACACCTGTTGATCGTCGTCATCGTCATCAGGCGTGTCGTGATAGTAATCATAAGTTGGGCGCGTTACGCCTTCGTGTGAATGTGCACGGCTAAGTCGTTCCAAACGCGCCACTTGCGCTGCCAAAGTATAAGGCGCTTGCGGCATGCGTGGAGGTGGCACTGGTCGTGCGCAATTTGCTGCTGTACACGATCCATGTCCACTGTCACTTGATGTAGCTGAGCCCGTCTTCCTAAGAGGCAAGTTTACTAGTGATGTCACACTACTGCTCTCTGCTGATAGGTCCACTGGCAGAGGAGTGGGTGTGTCCGAATGCGACCTTTCGTGAGCTGTACGGGGGCAGCAGATCCCCGGCCCAGGCCCTTCGCGACGATGTGAGCAAGGCGAAGGGCCGGGTGGTGGAGGTGGTGGTCTAGGCTGATGTGGTCTTGTTTTCGCGGGCTCTGAGAGAGCCAATAACTTTCTAACGGCTTGCGGCGAAGCAGTGCCAAATTTATTTCCCGCAAAGCTCTTCTTGCTTTCGCTGGCGGAAGACGCGCTGCTCGTGGTAGACAAGGAAGGGGATGGATGTCTGCGACGAGGCATTGCAGGGGCTGGCCCAGCTCCTTCACATTCCAGTGACAACGCGTGAAGTCTTTCCTCATCAGTTTCAACATGCATACGGTTTAAATACGCTTTTACGCGTCGCCCCATTTGTGCTTCTTCAAACATCTTTTTGGGATTAGGTACATTTGAGGACTTTTTCCTTCTCTTGACAGTAACTTGTCCTTGTTGCACTCCTGTTGTAAGTTGATTGAGGGCTACCATCGCATTTGATGGAGGCTGTTTGCCAAGTTCCAATAAAGTTAACAAGTCATATGGAGAGCTGCACATGTTGGTGAGTGTTCTAACTTCTTTAGCAATCATTCGCAATTTTTCGAAATTGACCATACCTTCAACTTTCGTATCGTTTCCAAGATGAATAAATGTCAAATCTTTTTTCACTACTGGGTAGAATGGGATTACAGGTGACCTGCCTTGTTCTGTTGTTACCAGCTGTCTGTATTTTGACATGTTTCTAGATGGATCCATCAACATTTGCAAATCAGAGAAAAGTTTATAATATTTAGAAGGGAGCTTTTCCCAGGTCATCCTTAATCGAGAGACAGCCCCGTGTCCTAAACCAGATATGATTGCAAACATTGAATTAAAGTTTTTGCATTCCTTACAATGTCGGGCCACTTTTATGAACTGCTTGACAATTTTTGATCGACGCACAATGTTCTGCTCAGTAACAACTTCTGTCACCACCCAAAACATTTCTTTGTTAACTAGTTCAGCAAACTGTGAAAGCATTGGTGTGCCATATCTGCTCTTTAGTTCAAACAGATCATCAACGTATTCTGTGCTCTCAATTTGCCGGAAAATGCAAAAATCTTGTAAAGTCAGTTGTACTGCTACTTCAACAGCATTTAACTGCAAAAAATGAACAACACTTTCTCTCAGCAGTTCTGGTGCCATTTCATCAGGTACTAAGGTTTCACTGATACCATTAGTCTTAAGGTAGTATCTGGAACTAAGACCAATATGTTCCGCAAGATTTTGCAATTGGTCTGGTAGGCGATGCTGCTTGATGATTCCACCTTGTGCTACAGACACTTCACAAAGCGAAAAATTGGAACTTGGGTCAGTAATACCAAACTCTTGTAATGTTAACATAACAACCTCTCTAGCTGTTGTTTCTTTGTGCACCAATAAATATTTGCAGGTTTGATCTGCTTTGTAAACTTTGAGCACATGCTCTGGGTAATCGGATGCCTGATACTCATCATAACAAATTGATATGAGGTCTGGGTTACTGTGAGAACTATAGAAGGAAGTACTGCTGTTTGCCTTGTTCAAAGACTCTGTGTTTGAGATGATACTATCATCATTATGCAAACCATCATTGATTGTGTTTTTAGGAAGTATGTTCATTTTCATTAAAGCTTTTTGAAGTCTTCTTTTGGGCCCCAATGTCATAAATCCTTTTTGAGGTTCTTTTTTGACATTGAGCTGTTGAGGTTTTTTGGTGGGAGATTGAAAAACTGGAGTTAATACAATGTTATCATCACTGAAAAGTTCAGCTGTGGACAACCTAGCCCTGGGATCAGTTTGCCAACGTGCCATGTTGGCACATCCTCTCTGTCTTGGAGAGTTCTCTGGCATTAGCAACATTTGTTTAAATGCTAATAAATTACTTTTCACTGTGATGCTTAAATGTGTTGAACCTGTGATTATTTCCATTGCTTTTGCTTGACTGACATGTCTAAAAGATTGACCATTCACCTCTATAACTTGATCCCCTCTTTTCAGGCCAACTTCCTCTGCTTTAGAATGCTTCTCAACTTTTAATATAAATATCCCATAACCTCTCTCATAGCCCCCAAGGATAGTAAAGTTTAGAGGTTCATCTCGAGTTGGGCGTGATAGAGTGACGCTTCTAGTTCTTGCTTTTGCAGAACAAGCAATGTTTAACAGCCTTAATTGGCTCTCCATCTTTTCTTTCTCCAAAACTGTTTCAAAACTTTCCAAGAACTCCATCATGGTTGGATCAGTTTCAAAGTCAGTAAAATGATTATTAACCCAAAGTAAAACTACCCTCGTGACTTTATCACGTACAGATGGTTCCGAGAACCAGGCAAGCAACTGTTTGGCAACAACAAGAGGATTTTCTATAAAAGTTCTGTGTGTCAATAAGAAGTCTTCGACATAAGTGGAATCTCTCAAATTATCTTCAATGAGTTGAAGCATCAGTTGTTCAGGAGTGCCTCTAATTACAACATGTCCTTGTTGATGTCCCGATTCCCCAGCAGCCCCTCGGTATTCAGTAATCAAAACAACAACACCATTTTCATTCTCATGTCTTCTGATATTCTCTTCACCTTGATGCAAGATGCGGTAGTAATCAGTTTGTGTAACACATACAAACTGACAGTCATCACAACGAGTGGTCATTACTCCCCTATGATATAATTTTTCCAAAGTAGCTTCTGCCATACCAAAACTATCTCCTACATTGAGATACTCAATATCACCATTTGTGTGTTCTATACCCACATTGCCATTGATAAGTACAGACCACGAGTCATGTTCCTCTCCATCATTCATGACCACTGTTCCAGCTTTCTCAACAACAGCAAATACCATAACAGCACATAGTGCACGACGTACTGTTAGGGTCATGTTCGTAAATGCTTTCAAATGTTGAGTGAATTCCAGGAGGATTTCAATGTCATCATCTGTCCTTTCACTTGGATCTTTCTCAAGGCATTCTCTGACAGCATCCCGTACTGTGAGACTGTCCATACTTTCTTCTAAATCCTCTTCCTCATCAGAGTCTACAATGGACTCGAGGAGACCAGATAGATCTACCTCCATATCCATGTCAAGGGAGCTGTGTACTGAAGTCATGGTGTCACTACCACTATATGCGGAGCTTGTGTCGCTTGCGTTAGAGCACTTAAGGGTGTGAGGGTACAGCTCCGGACTGTGACGGCCACCTCGCCCCCCTCTCAACATTGTGAAGTTTCTAGCCTCCTTTAGCCAACATCCAGCTCTGAAACAAAAACAAAATACTATTTCATAATGCTAAATTTAACAACTTGTTGCAATTTTAAAATACCTGCTTTACGCTCATGGATCAAAGTAACAAAACACTACCATAGCGAGCCAATGGATCACATTAAATAAGGAAAAGAGCAGTAATGAGTAAGTTACGGCCTACTTAACAGGACATAGGAATATACAACTGAAATTAGAACATTCATAGCTGTTGCGAATAGACATATAATGGGTAATAGATTTTCACTAAACGTGTAATGAAATTCAAACTACTTTCTTCATTGCGTCGTCGTACGCACGTAGATGAGTTAACGTACATCGCGTAACGAGCCCGATCGATTTTTTTTGTTTACAATTACGTTATTGTTTTCATTCGAATGGACTTTTATGAATCAAACCAAAACAACAGATATGTGAATCTTCATACAGCAAATAAACTGTTTCCAAACCTTCAATTTCTATTTATTTTGCATTCATGGCGGAACTGTCACTGCTTCCATGTTGCTTTCTAATTGATTCTCTTCAAATCCACGCTAACTGCTTGAATTATAGCACAACACAAAGGTCAAAACCATCGAATGTAATAGTCAAAGATTCAACATTAGTTAACAACTATTACCGAACGTTAAACAAAAATATTCACCACAAGATTTTTAGAAAGCCACTTTCATGAAATTTGAATCATAGACACACTATTTTACCCTTTTTTAAATGCTGTTGTCTATGGTTAAAATTTAATTACGCTATACATTAAGAAAATGAGACAGCGCATTATATTTTGCTATAGTAAAAAGGAAATAAAAGATAAGTATATTATTCTCATTCTTGACCATTTGCTACAAAAATAGATAACAACCTAGCATAAATCATGAATAATTTTAAAGTTTACCTTGGTTAATAATCTCTTAAATGAGACTATTTTTTTATTTTGTTTTGGAAAAATAAACAAACAATGATATGTTGTTCCAAAATTTGCATGTAGTCGTTTTTTGAACGCATTCATAATAACGGAAGAGTCGGTACTCGTCACAACTTCTATTTATATTAAAAATATTTAAAATACATTTTTTCCAAATAAAAAATAACCACAAAAATAATGAATATTTTTTGATTCAGAATACTGTAATTCACGTTAGTTAGAATGATTTAATTTATTTTATGAGTATAGAAACAAGCCAACTGAACATATTTCTATCTCCATCTATTTTCAGAGATAGGTACTTTTCTGTGTAGCGTTTTCGCAGCTAAAACCAGTGATGATAATCTTTTACATATAACTTTTATAAATTGATCGTTTTCCGCAGCGAAAAGAGTCGCAGGAACGTTAAATTACTCCCGTGGAAGTGTATCATCTTGAAATAATCTCGTGCATAACGTTAAAATGCGTCCTGTTTCACAGTTGAGACGGATGGTGAGCGATGGCGAGAATACGGTGATAGATTTTTGGTGTTGAATTTTGCTCCGTGTCATCAGTGCTATAGTTTTCGATTACATCCCCGAAGGACAGAAATCGTTTCGTTTCGGTGATTTACATGTTTATAACTTAATCTTGGATCACTTCGGAGGATTATTATTGAGGAAATATTGTCATTGACTGACCGGCTGATATTACACGAGGCTTGTATGTATATGTGACTTCTGCCTTCTGCTATTCGTGACACGCCTCAGAAAATAAAGCTAAATTTGTGAATCGGAATATTATTTTTCGTTGTTGTGTCGTTTTAGTGATATAGACATTTTAAAATTACGTAACTGTTGTGGAATCTCAAAGTGTATAAAGAATGGCCTGAGTGTGACCACTCCATTACCATCATGTGTGACGAAGGAATGTTTGTTTAGGCTTCGATACTGTGCTGCGACCTTCCGGGAGTGCGCGTTTGTCTCGTGAACCGGACTGGATCATGACTCTGCCCGAATCAAAACAAACCTCGCATTGATCACAATCGACGTATTGTCATTTGGGACAATTTTATATCGCCAAAATGTCTTCGGGAACGTTTGTGGACAGGATTGATCCTTTCGCCAAGCGGTCGCTGAAGAAGAAGACCAAGAAATCGCAGGGTTCGTCGCGGTACCGTAACACGCAGGACGTGGAGTTGCAGGCGCTGCCACTACTCAAAGGTGAGCTACGCTTATCTCTTGCTATCGGCCGCGATTGTAGCGTCGTATATTTGACTATACCAATTTATTACTAATTAAATACCTGTTCCCGTCTTGTTAGAAAAGGGTAGTAGGTACTACCCATGTCTAAGATAAACATCCTTATGTCCTGTACAACTTGAAGGATTCTAGCCATCAACATGCTAATGGCACTTTCTCATTATCAGATCATTAACCTTTAGCCTTGGTAGTAGGTTAGAATTGGAAATTATTCACATAGTTACCGGTTGTAACCACAAGTGGACCAGTGATGCCATATTTTTTTAGAAAAGCTTGCTGGTTTGAACCTACATTTGACCAAGATTGTAGGTTGCCAGTAAGAGTATATATGTAAATGAATGTGTTGTTGAATAATATATAAAAGAAAATCTTATATTTTTTTTATAAGTGAAGATAGTCAATGGATTTAATTTTTTTAGTATACAGTTAAAAAAATCTAACCTCAAATATTGCTCTCAGTGTTTATGTAAAAGTAATACACATAGTGCAGCTAATAAGAAAATAATGTCACACAAGTTCTTTTCAGTATGTCTGATGCAATTTGACAAGCAAATTTTAAATCAGCTGTTTGCATAAGTTGCTTATATTTGAGTGCTTAGGTTTTGAAAAAAAAAGATGAGGTCCTATGTTCTCAGAATGATAAAAACAATGATAGCCTCATTCATTGAAGAATATTTAAAGAGTTTAATAGTAAATAGAAATACTTATTAATTGAGTCTTACTTTTGTATTGTGCATATAAGTTGTTGTCTTGAGCAATATAATATGTACAACTATATTTCTATACCTTATAACTTTAAAAAAAACGTATACCACTGTATAATAGGAAATGAAAGCAATTGCATCTTTGTTTTGTGTACAACTTACCATTTTACCTTATGTAGTTTTGTATAAATTAATATTAATCTTATTTAATGAGTAATATCAGAAAATAACAGATGAGAATGTATGTATGCTTCTTCAAAACTGCTGGAGCTTATTTTATTAGGTACGATGAACACTGTCTTCATCTGATAAAGCTTTTAAAATATTACAAATTAAGTTGTTTTTAGGCTAGTGTTGTAACCAAAGTATTTGACGCTAAATGTAAATAAGGCTTAATTTGTATACTAGTATGAATTGGAGTGCTAATTTATAGAGTCATTATTGCTTAAAATTTGCTGTACATGTGCTCATTTTGGGTCTGCTTGAGACTGAGTATGAATTTATAGAAAATTACGATTTTAGTTACATTGAACACCTACCACAAATACCCAAATCACATAATAATAATAACACGCACACTCGACATAGCTCTGCACTAGAGAAACCCTGTGTCGCGGGTGTCATGGACACACACATAGACAACCACAAATTACACCCAAAATCACGAGATAAATTAATGTAGGCCATACAAATATTTCTCCCGGCCCGGGAATCAAACCTGGGACCTCTGCGTGGCAGTCCGGCATGGTAACCGTTCGGCCACAGAGGCAGTTAAATAGAGTGGAAATGTGGAAAGTGTACCCTTCTTGATTATTTATGATATTTAGATAGTTCCAGAATGTGTGTAAGACAAAAATTTTAAGATAAATTTTAAACTAACCTAACCCATCTGTTATGAGAGTATTGATTATGTAGCATATTACTTAATAGTTATTTACTATTTAGGTTGGTGTAAACATTATAAAACATTTGAAATTTGTCCTTAAGGTAGTTCTGTAGAGCATTTCTATAGCCACCATACTGGTCTTTGATCTGTGATAAATTTCTTTATTGATCCATTCAAGTGTTTATTAACAGTTTCTGTATTTTGCAATAAAAGTTATTTTTATTACAGTCTCTCAATGTAAACAATGACAATAAAATAAAACACTCTTAATTACTTGAGTACTATGTTACTGATTTTTAATTAGATATAAGCTCATAGCTACTAACACTGAAAAATTGTGTAACCCTGTTTAATGTCTAGTGATGTGTTTATTAGGTCCACTTCTTAATGAAGCCACTGAAACAGAAGTACTAAAAAAATATTAAAGATTTTTTACTGTTGATCTGCAAAAAATATCTCATTTGGATTTAATATCTACATACTTACAGTTTCCTTTTCCAAGTCTTTATATTTTTTTAAATTAATACCTACAAATTATTAAAAAGATACAATTTACCTTGATGAGGCAGCCCTGTTTATATTTAATCAAATACTAGCAACTCTCTAAACAGCAGATTAATAATCTTTAATTAATAATATTCTGACTGAGCTGTCATTTTGTGACAAAGCTGTTTAAATAAACAGAAATAAAGATATAGATGCCTATAGAAGTTTTTGGATGCTACTTAAATCTCAAATTTTCAACACTTTAGAAGGAATGGGATGGTTATCCCTTTCCTTCTCATAGAGGTTGTCAGTAGCATCTACTTATTTTTGCCTATAAACAATTCTATCTGCACTAAAATCATATTTTTTGTTTATGATATTTGTCTGAGAAATAGTGCAAATCTCCATTTTTTTAATAAACCTAAGCCCAGTACTGTATAAGTTGGTATGGATATTATTAATTTCATTAATTAAGGCACTGAATACTGGAAAAGAAACTAAAGATATATATCAATATGCAGTCAAATGGTAAATTTACTAGACTCCTTTCACATAACTTACCTACCTGGTTATTATAACACTCAGAAATATAAAAAAAAGGTTTTAAAGGTTAACAGTAGTAATGCATAATGCAATGTTTACTTAAAGAATGTCTATGTGTTTCTATTTATGTGTGATCTAGATGTAAGACTAGCTGCATCTATTTTGAACTGCTCTTTGTCACAATTGAATCTTGTCTACTTATTTCCCCTTTCAATTGCATTAATTTGAGGCTAATATTGATATTGCAGACTTTATATGCAATTTTTATTTTTCTATTTGACCTAATTAATCAGTATGTAAGTGCTATTTTTCCATTAATTGTTGCTTTGTTAATTGAAACCTTAAATTAGTTTAACCATTAGTAGGCATTACAAAAATGTCTAAAGCGCCTTAGAATTAATAAAGTTATTTGGTAACAAATACTGGACAGATGCAGTGTCGTCCATTTTTAAACCTACTATGAATGAACAAGATAACAATCTGGGAAACAGCATTTGTTAATGTCGTATTATGTATATAGTATATATATATATATATATATATATATATATATATATATATATATATAGATTTTAGAATATTAGAATTTAATTGTAGAAATTGAAAGATTTTTACGTATAATACATGTAAAATACAGAAATCCAAAAATCCATGTTCAGTACATTAATGGTACAGTTATCATCACAATGATTTCAACCAGTCAAGGTAACCAAAATGATCATCAAATGAACATTTATATAATGTCAATGATTTCAAGGTGCTCATTTCTTTTTCATTTCAATTTATACTGCATCTTGAAATAATTATCATAAAGATGATTTTTGTTAAAATTTGGGCACAATGAATGTTTAGATAAATTTAACTACTTTGGATTGTAGATATTGTTGGTGTCTTTGATGTATTACATAATTTTGAAGCTGACTATACTAACACATATTACATTATATATTTAGAACATAATAATCAGATAACTTATCTTCAGTTGCTCTTATCTGAAATGTAGTATTGAATGAGATGTTGCTACTACCTAAAAACTCTTCTTACAACCTTGCATCAATTACAAGTATAACAGATATGTAATTGAATATAACAGAGTTCTATACTATTTTATTATATTATTTTATAATAATAACATAGACGTCATGATGACGCACCAGGACGTTATTGCGAAGCATTTCTTCCCAAGTCTTTTTCAGATTTACAATACATGGACTCATTTACTTTTCCTGCATTATCCTGTATTCATACGCTGCTTCTTCATTGAGGTGTATTATTCACATTAACTAGAGAGCGCGTCGTAAGGCAATGCTGTGAAAATATTCTGAGTTTCAAATTGTAGATAACGTTTGGGTGTTGATTGATTTAACTATATGTATAACTTGTCAGTCGCCTAGTGCAGAAGGAGATACTTTGATAATGGATTGTAATAATAATATCAGAGTTTTCCTCTTATACTACACATAATAAAATATCGTGCAAATAAATCAGTGCGAGCATGCAAATTTGCAAGACTAACTTCGAACGCAATCACAAATTACAAAATTATTGTATTCATAGAAATACATTGAAATATAAATGGCAAAGACCATTTAAATTAGTAACGGCAAACGGTTCAGCAACTGAAGACCGTGGCGTGCATAACCCTCGTGGATATTCTGCGACGGCCCGTAATAGTTACGTACACACTAAACTGTAAAAAACAGTAAGTGTTTATGAATACACCTAAGGAAAAACGACACAATTAGAATACAAACAAAACAATCTAAAATGTTTAAGAAAAACACATAAGCCACGAATTATAAGAAACTTGCATACCGGATTTGCTTTGCATTGCTTCTCAGATTCACAGTAACACACGAAAGGTTTACATTGTGTACTTAGTATAGTTTAATTTCCTTTGTAAAGCGAATATTTAAAAATGCGTGCAGTAACTGTTTAAAGCTTTCACGCACGTCTAAATTTCTTAGGTATAAACTGTATCGCATCGCGTTTGAAGTAATAGAAGAACATTACATATGATATCTCATAATCGCCTTCAATGATATCCACAGAAATACAGCTCCTATGAAGAAGTGTCATAATTCTATCGTCAACGAGATTCCGATATTTTTACAGATGTACCAAGCAGTGAACAAGAGGAGTTGTTTATCCGCAAGCTGCGGCAGTGCTGTGTGGCGTTCGACTTTATGGACCCAGTGGCTGACCTGAAGGGCAAGGAGATCAAGCGCGCCACGCTCAACGAGCTGGTCGAATACATCACTGGCGGGCGTGGCGTGCTCACCGAACCCGTCTACCCGGAGATTATTAAAATGGTAAAACACTTCAATTCAAATGTACTTTATAACAATGAAAAAAAAAAATGAAATAAAGTTCAATGAGTAGTCTTAGAAATTCTTACAGGCGACCTCTAATGAAAAAATAAATAAAATTATATTATAATACCACATAAAACAGAGTAAAGTAGCTGGCACTAAACAAATACTTTAGAAGAGCAATTAATTGGTCTTGGTTGATCTAAGTGCTAAATGTTCTGGCTCTCAATAATTCCATGTTTCGACAAGTACCATTACATATTTAAATATTTGGTAGAGAAACAGTCAAACACTTGTTAAACATACTGTCGGGGTAATGCAGGAGAGAATCGATTATTGTAAACCAACGCTAACGAACTGGTGAATATGTGGACACACTGAACGCGCTTTTCATATAAAATTGACATTTAAAGTCAACAGCGCGCGGTCGACTGTTTATGGAAACCGCACCGCGTTCGGTGTATGAAATTTTGCTACGTTGTTTGCAATTAACAATATTATTGGTTTTTTAATACAACTACTAAATCTCAAAACCTGTAATATAGATTCTGGGATCGCATCCACCACACAGAGTTCTAACAAAAAATTCTCTACTGTCCTATGCTTGCTAATATCAATATCATTAATCAGAACCACTACGCAAATAAATTGCTTCAGCTGCTAAACAATGTTGTGAACCAACAGTCATTCCAAATTAACTTTCGGTTGGTTTACTTGGAAGCTTCTGCAGATGCGCAATTTTATATTATATTGAATTTTTGTCAAATTGTAATGGAGTATTTGATACATATCGAAAATTAAATGCTTTTTAGCATAAATGTATGGTTACATCTGAGAACAGAATGGAAATTAGTTGTAAAACTAAAATAGTTACAGACATTAAGAATGATTTCTTATTGTTTGTAACTATTTTTAGTTTTTCAACTAATTTCATCAGCATTTTGAAAAAAACGACATAGTGACGTCCCAACCGTAACGGCGCTGTATAAACTATATCTAATGATAGTTTTGCCAAAAAACATCCCCCACCCCACCACTGACTCCAACGATTAATCTCACTGGTGTTAGTTGAGAATGGAATAACTAATTTTAGAGTTATTTTCAGCATGTTGTGTTCATGTGAATTTATTGAAGTAATAAAAATATTAAGTTAAACATCTTATTATAATCAGAAATCACTGGAGGAAAATAGTTTCACCTTCATAAGTTATGTTTGTGGTTATTGAATTTGATGGTCAGTCGTTAGCAATTTCATACATATGAAAAATATTATGTAATAATAATATTGTGCGAGAAAGTCACATGTCATTTAGTCTCAACCTGGGGATCTCCCTGTTCAGCCTCGTAAGAGAAATTATACTCAAATTTAGTGTCGAGAAACATTTGTTGAAATGTTTAATACATTTTACAGTTTCAATGAATATTATTTATTATTATCATCACGGGACATTCAAATTTGAATTTCGCTACGTGACTCTACTATAAGTCCCTGAGTATTGAAACATCCAGAATACTATCTGGAACAACCACATCACAACGAGCGAATGAAATGAGCTTTCGTAAATAGGCCCTATGGGATTCGAATACGGAATCTCATTGAATGCCCTTACTACTGCTGTGACAACAAGGTCGTATTATTTGTCATCTGTATATAACAATCCCTAAAACAAATGAATATTGCATTTACAAATTGTTATAATTATGTTCTTGTCAATTAAATGAACGCTTAGATAAATTACATGTTAAACTGCCTCCGTGGCCGAACGGTTACCATGCCGGACTGCCACGCAGAGGTCCCAGGTTCGATTCCCGGGCCGGGAGAAATATTTGTATGGCCCACATTTATTTCTCTCGTGAGTTTGGGTGTAATTTGTGGTTGTCTATGTGTGTGTCCATGGCACCCGCGACCCAGGGTTTCCCTAGTGCGGGGCTATGTTGATTGTGAGCGTTATTATTTATTAAAATAATGTTTAATCATTAAAAAAAAATCTCTAATATCACATGTAAAAGTGATAGTAACATATTATTATAATACGGTCTAGAATTTACGACGGCGGCGTCTCGATACTATCGCTTCCAGATATCTCCGTTTTACGGGGGCCTCTTGGCCCCAATTTCTTTCATCTTTTGCTAATCGCAACTTTGAAAACACATGAATGTAGCGGAGTCTTATAACCTCGTGAATTAACCCATATTGAAAATCGACATTGATAGCTACAAGCCACTATGTACTACTACTTCTATTGTCGTGCCCCATCTCATGTCGTGCCCCATCTCATGTCGGCGTTAAGTGATATGATTAATGAAGTTATTATTGACTAACTGTAATATCAAACATAATATAAATAATGTCTTCTACGTAACGTAAGTAAAGTGCTATTTTAGTTAAATTCATGTGAAACGGCCAATCTATATAATTGAAATTTAAGGCTATATAGGTACTAGAGTTGCAGATCGGCAACTTGAAGCATAAGCGTAACTATTTCGTTTCTCTTACTACAGCAGGACATATAGGTCGTGTATCCGGCCTGTCTCGCTCCACTTTACAAACCTGGTAACACGAAATTGTATACTGTCGGTTATAAGTTGTCCTAACATAAACATAGACCGTTGAACAAGGTCAAAAGGTTTAAGATACCGCGCTACGTATGTTAGCGTGGATTTTATCGTATGCCGTTATATCCATCTTTGCAAAGGCACTTTCTTCCATGAACTTGGATTTGCCCTAATATTGACTTTTTATAGGAACAAAATGGGATACTTACATGCTTATAGCAATAAATATTATTAATGAAATTTTTATACGGTCTTATCGTTTCTAGAGATAGTTTTTTCAAGCTACGTTGCGTGTTCATTGCCAATAAACGTCTTTTGATATAGTCGTTATAAAATAACTATAAGGTCTTGAAATTCATTGTATCCACTGTGTAGAAGTAGTACAAATAACCAGTACTGACACTCATGTTACTCCATATTGGAAAACAAGCGATGTTTAATTTTATGTTAAGTAATAAAAATGGTTGCGTAATAATAACTTTGTGTATGGTTACATACAATATGACACTTATGAGTAGGCTATATAATTTGCTTTTCCTGGTCCTTATTACGTTATATTTGCTTTGAGTTAGGACGACAGTTCTGGTTGGTTGAAGAAGAGTATGTATATAAAAATAAACTTCTCTGAAGTAATATTTCTCAACAACTTGAATAGTAGATATGTTTTTAACCATAATAGACGCATGGAAGAACAATATTTTAAAACTTTGAATGAAAATTGTGGTCCATGGCGAAAGTAGTCTTTCAAATTAGCCATTTCAAGAATTGGCCGTTTTTGTAATTGGGTGTTTTACGAATTGGACCCTTATCGAATTAATCATTTCAAGAATTGGCTATTTGTAGAATTAGTATTTTAAAGAATTAACCATTTTCACAATTTTATTTTTAGCGATTTTGCACTCATTTCAGCTATTAACCATTTGTATTGGCCTTACATCTCCTAAACCTTACTTACTAGTCAACAAAAAATCATATTGTAAGCGGCTGTGAAAATATTCCATCCAGTCGCATCAATCATTTGCACTTCTGTCAAGCAATATTTTAAAACCATGAACTGGCTGTAATACCATAGTGGCATGCTTGCCTTCTTCTTCTTATCGTATCGATGGCTTACACTGTAATGATTGCCATCATGGTGAAAGGATTTGCCAGTTAATCAGTGTAAGGTACTCGCCGATTGTTACCCAAGGTGCGCCAGATGTACTGGCTAGGACTGATACGTCGTGCGGGGAGGCTCCTTTCGTGCACCCCATGCTTGCCTTAAATGAGTTAAATCATTGCAAGCTGGGAGCCTGGAGATCTGTCACACAGATTAACGCCTAGCATAGACTCCAGTCTCTTACCAAGGTTTTAAAAAAATTCAAGTTAAATTAGCTCTCATTGTATATAATTCTTCGATATTTGTACTACCAGCAGTTACTATTATATATAGTTTAAATGCAAGTTTTTATTGCAGATTTCGGCTAATTTGTTCCGCACCCTGCCGCCGAGTGAAAATCCTGACTTTGACCCCGAGGAGGACGACCCGACACTGGAGGCTTCGTGGCCGCATCTCCAACTAGTCTACGAGTTCTTCCTACGTTTCCTCGAGTCAACTGACTTTCAGCCTACCATTGGCAAGAAGGTCATTGACCAGAAATTCGTATTGCAGGTAAATAACTTTATTTACACAATTCCTGTTTCCTTCTAGTATATGTAACGACGATCTGGGTATTACACCCTTAGATGGAAACACAGTGCTGTGTGAATAAGCTTAAAAAAATGTATACTAGTAGTATACAGTAGTTGTCGTCGGACTGGTATGATACAAAACTCGAATAAAACGACGTGTTCTAGGTGCACCTATTCACGTGTAATATGAATTTAACTGTAATTATGTAACATCACCACAGTTTTCTCTTAATTTGTGTTGTGTTTCCTATGTTGGACTAACAATTACAATTATTTAAATATTGTAAAATTCTTATGGTTAAATAGTACTACATTTTAAATTCCAGTCACTGTTAGGGTAATAAATAACCTTTTTGTGTTTTGGATAATTGCGATTTGTGAAGAACATGTTGGATTTTTGCTAAAGACCTTGTACCAATTAGGAAGAGATTGTTTCAATAAGAAAGTTTAAGATGACTTTGTTATCTATTTGGATCACACACTCGATATAAAAAAGTATCGATTGCGTTACTATATATATTCTTTTTTTTGTTTTGTTACGTTATCTATATAATGATATGATTAGAGGATTTTTTAGTAAATTCCGACTTGATAAATGATTAACTGTTATCTGCAGACTAACTAACGTAGCTACTAAGGCATCACGATAGACCATGCCCTAAAGCACCCTAATATTATCCTTTTGCCTGAGCGGGTTTTGGTTGAAAGATACTCAATACCATAGTTTATCGCAATCATACTTTCCCCAATTTTTAAATGTATTTATAAAATCAGTTTTTAGCAAAAAAAATTTTTCTTTCATAGCTTTTAGATTTGTTCGATTCAGAAGACCCGCGCGAGCGTGATTTCCTCAAGACGGTGCTGCACCGCATCTACGGCAAGTTCTTGGGGCTGCGCGCTTTTATACGGAAACAGATCAATAATATATTCCTGCGATTCGTTTACGAGACCGAACATTTCAACGGTGTCGGTGAATTGCTAGAAATATTGGGAAGGTCAGTACTGTTTTTATTTCATATTTTTTTCATTCCTAAATCATGTTATTTATTTGGTTCCATACATGCACTGTTATTACGATTGAATACCACACTATTTTATAGTGTTTTAAAACAGATGTCGTTTTAAATAATAGTTTTTGTCGTAACTTTTCCTTATATGATGATAGTCTTCCATATACACAGTTTATCGTAAGTCATGAAACTTTCTTGAAAAGTGACAAATAGGTAGTACGAAATTATGCTTCTAATTGGATATAAGAAATTTGTATTTTTTTATTCTTTTAAGTAACAATTATGTATACCAGTAGGGGTGGAAGGTATTTCTTAGTTTAGTAACTAGTTTTCTGATTAGAAATGTAAACAAGCTTGTTGAAAACATCTACTATGTAACATACAACTGTCTTAACCTATCATGTTATGTGATGTTTATTTAAAAACATGTCAAACCAAATGGTTGTTAGGAATTAATATTACAAAATTATATAATATCGTAAAATTGACATCTTGAGTAAACTACACAACAAAACAACACAAAACAAATAGCCACGACATTTTATTTTTTATTGATAAATAAGTTATAGTCAAAGTTTTACAATTAACCTTAACTTCCATTATTTTGCTATCATATAGTGAAGAGTTGATCTTGAGGAGTGAATTGCTCCTCTTTTACTATCTATGCACTTCTTGATGCGTTTTAGTACGTTTTGTAACAGGACGGTAATGTTTTCAACTAGCACGCGTTCCCAACAGACTGTTATGTATTAAACTAACTTCTGCTAGCAATTGACATTGTTATAATTTCTCAAGTAATTCCGCAAGTGCCAGATAGAAGTTCGAAATAGGATTGAAGTCGTGACTCATCCCTGGCATTGGCAAAACGGATATCACTCAATAGTAATATCAATATATGCGACAGCTTTATCATTAAATCATTGTGCCCTCGTTATAGAAATCGGATGACGTGAGGTCCGACCGCTTCTTGATGTAACTGATATCGGTTATGGTCTTCGTCGGGCCACCGAGGTCGTCGAGAACGTTGGCGAGCGAACCTTAAACGCACGACGCGATAGGCTCTTGTCTGTTAAAGTTGAACAACACACATTCTGATCGTAAGTTTTTAGGAGTAGTAGAGCTCCTTGTGAAAGAGTTCGTCCAGGAAAGTACTGCCACCTTACCTATTTCTGCCGCCAAGCAGTAATGTTAGCATTACTGAGTTCCGGTTTCGGAGGATAATGGTGCTGGTGAAGTTACAGGCGCATGGGACTTGTCAACTTATGTCTCAGGGTGACTGGCGTAATGGCAGTGCCCCTCAGATCTTTGCGGCTTAAAGCTCTGAGTGGCACTGCAACTATTAAGGCGTGTAGACGTGTACCATCAGGCGCACGACTTGTCCGTCCCGTCACATTATAAAAATAATAATAATATTCGTTGCGATTTTCATCAATCCGTTCCGGAAGGTCTGATGTCCTATACGTTTAATAATGCCGTCGTCAGTTTTTTAATACGCAGGTGGCTATGGTATGCTATCGATATGCCAATAATCAGACGTACTGGGTCTTGGGTTGTGGTGGCTCGGATTTCTGATAGCGTTCCATGGTACGGGTAGCCCGTCGCGACAGCCGAGGCGTATTGTTACCTAGTGACGCACTGTTTTGCAGCAAAATTAAAGCACAAGTGAAAGTTTCCATATTCATGAGACAGTGATCTTGTGGGATAGTTAACTGCACTAATACTGAAGCTAAGCAAGACAATTAAGTAACGTAATTGTTAGACACAGCACAAGCTAATTAGAAGGTTAACAATTTTTTTTAACAGTCTGGTTTTTTTTTTTTTTCTTTGTTGTTTTATTATGTCTTTGAAATATGCCAACATGGCTATCCTGTATAAAAAGATACTCTCTTTTAGTAATTTTTATTTAGTCTATAACGACATTTTGTCAATAGTTTGGGGGCTCATATTATTTTCAGTAGTTTATGGCATCTGTTTGTAAACAATAAGTTTGTAAACAAAAATACAAGTGTACATTTATATTTTCTTCAATAAACTTGTTCATGTTAATTTGTGTGTTTATGTTTTAGGCATAAAAATATTTTTTGTGTATAATGAAATACACACACAATGTTAATGACTCTCGAAAACCACCGAGCCATTTTATATTTTATTTATGTGATATTTAATAAAAAATTATCTTTAACATGTGGCTAACCTAAATCCTACATCTAAAGGATCCTAGTAGTCCTAAATGTGCAATTTTTGTTGTCTATATAAAGTAAATTTTTTTTACTTCCTATTGAATTAAGGTTATTTTTAGATTATGCTTTGCTAGTAAGGTAGTTTCCAGCATTTGCAGGATTTTTATTTGTAAAGTAATATTTTACTGATAATGTTTCAATATGTTTCTACTCACGTTACCAGGAATTTGATGATTGAATAAATAGATATAGAGGTATCACCTTTATCTGGCCACTAGTCAACGCTGCTGATAAGAGGCCTAATTCGTGACAAGAATATTTGTGGTTAAAATGAAAACGGACCATGGTTTAACAGAAATGTTATGGAAACATTTTCACAGTAGAAACTGAGAAATTCTTCTCACATAAGTCTTATTGTCTACTTATATTTTACAGTTTATTTCGTGTTATACTATCATTGGACCAATTACTTGTCGCAAATGTATCTTAGTCGTGTAATAGGTTGTTATAAATTGTTAGTAGTTTCCTACAGGGAATAATTTTCTTTGAGTAGTTCTTTATATAACACAATGCATATGCAATTGCAATTAAAAAAAAACAAATCTGACTTAAATTATAAAAACGTAATCTAGTGCTAACAAGAAACATATTGTTTATTTGTTTTCAAAATCCTGATTTTACTAGCATTGTATTTAAAAGTGGTCAGACTGTGTATAAGTTTTGTAAACATTTTTATATTTCACTTGTTCGTGAGGGTTACATGCCAAACTAACATAAAATTTAATTTTTACCAAGGTTACTTCATAGTTAAGACTTAGTAGCTTATTTCATCAGTTTTGGGCTTTCTACGTTTTAAGTCATCTTTTTTGTCTTTTTACTGTGGCATAAATATAACACAAAATATGATAATTGTTTAATTAATTTTAATTATCAATGTAAATTAGCTGCAATCCAAATATTCAGGAGGAAGGAAGATTCCTACTATATATATATATTCCTAGATTTGTAGATACAAATAGACTTCCTGCTTCCTTTAGAAGAGACCATCATTATTTTGTTTTATTATAAAATAAGATATAAAGGTAGTTGCTTGTAGTTTGTTTCTACCTAACCTAGAGCTACAATGTTTTGAATGTCGTTACAGTATAATCAACGGGTTCGCTCTGCCTTTGAAGAGCGAGCATAAGCAGTTCCTTGTGAAGGTGCTATTGCCGCTCCACAAGGTGAAGTGCCTGTCGCTTTACCACGCGCAGCTGGCCTACTGTGTCGTGCAGTTCCTCGAGAAGGACGCAACGCTTACGGAACCCGTCGTTCGCGGCCTTCTCAAGTTTTGGCCCAAGACCTGCTCACAGAAAGAGGTCAGTTGAATACTTTTAACTTGCTAGTTGTGATTAGCCATTAAATTACTGTATATCACATTAATTAAAAAAACCTTGTAATCGGTGGGTATGTATTTTCTAATATTATAGTATCACAACATCACATACTATCAGTGTTTTCACCATATCTCAAAAAATACACAAAATCCTTTAGTTGTTTTGAAAAGATGGTGTAACGCGTATTAAAAACATTAATAGGCTGATGGGTGCTTTTTATTTCGTGAAATCAAAACGTACGTACTTTTTCTTTTCACTATGAGTATGCCAACATTATTTTGTAGATCTGAATCTTTATGGTTATTTATAATATGCGTATCTTATTTAGATTTTTATTTATGCAACTAGATACCTCTGTTAAGTGTGCATTTGATACATTACAATGTCAGTAATGTGACTAACAATTCTATGATTGTTGTTTTATATGATTATTATTGTGGTAAATGTTTTGTGTATGTTATTTTCAGGTGATGTTCCTGGGCGAGATAGAAGAGATATTGGATGTAATTGAGCCGGCTCAATTCGTCAAAATACAGGAACCACTTTTCAGACAAATAGCAAAATGTGTATCCAGTCCACATTTTCAGGTAATTTATTGTTATTAGTTTCGAATACAAGGCCAATGAAAATTGATGGATTATCCTTACTGTCCATCAGAATGCTTACTTACATTACAGAGGCAAACACAGATAGATATTACTAATTTTATTTGTAGTGATATTGAATTTATTTCACAATTCTAGGTATCAGTAATCACCACGTTGTTTACTTGTTTGTTCAGTGTCGTTGTAAAATAATGTGATATATTCCAGGTGGCGGAGCGGGCACTTTATTTTTGGAACAACGAATACATAATGTCGTTAATGGAGGAGAACAACCACGTAATCATGCCGATTATGTTCCCGGCGCTATACCGGATCAGCAAGGAGCATTGGAACCAGACCATCGTAGCGCTTGTCTACAATGTGCTGAAGACCTTCATGGAAATGAACTCCAAGCTCTTCGATGAGCTCACCGCCAGCTATAAGGCGGAACGGCAGAAGTAAGTACATCCTAACTTTGCCGTGGTAAACAGATGAAGGTTTGTTAGTTGTTGACACGATGTTTGGTGTCTTGCAGAGAGAAAAAGCGTGAGAAAGAGCGAGACGAGCTGTGGAAGCGACTGGGCGAGCTGGAGATCACCCACAAGCGGCAGGTGGGAGCCGGTGCGCCGCTGGCCAAGTGATGCCCCCTCTGAGTCGCCGCCCGCGCTCTACACTAATGCGACACATTTTATTTTCACTTATCTATTCGTATTTTCTATTCGATTACATTTTTGTTAATGACGTTATTAATTTTTTATACCTCTAATGACTCGTTCGTTCGGGTATACCCTGATGTCTCTGGATTCGGTTCGCTCGGGAGCCGCCGTGGCCGCCGCGCCACCGTCGCGCCCGACCCGCGTTCGACGTAATGTTTCGTACCTTCATACAAATTACTTATAGTGCTATCGAATGTCCGCATCCCGAATGCGCCGTCATTATTGTACTAGTATTTTATATACGTTTACATAGGTAACTAGTTTACTTTAGGAATTTTTTAAATATTGTTAAATTGTTTAAATAAGTTAAAAGTTGTATGTATTATTGATGCATGATCGATCGTACCGCATTTCGGATCACCGATAATTGTATTAATCGGGCGCCCAGCTTTCGGCTGATTATTATTGTACAAAAATTAATAGGGCAATTGAAATGTACTTTGTTTAGCGAGGGTTCCGAGGCGGCGGCGCTGCTTGGCTCTGCCCTCGTGGCTGGCCGACGATAACGTTGCCGCAGCCGCGCCGCAACGGGGCCCGCCGTAGATCGTTGTATGAAATTTTCATTTAAAATTAGATGCTCGATTCGAAAATGTAATTTCGTCGTACTATCATTTTGTATAGTTACATAGTGTAAATAGGCATTTATTTATTATAAATTTATAGCAGTGTGATTTTTATACATAGCTGCGGGAATGGGACATTGTAATTGGGCAAAATCGGTCAGAGCGAACTGGAGACTATTCATGTATCATGCATACAGCTCGATAAAACTAAAACGTTAATTTGATCATATTGGAGTAGAACAATGCTAAAAGTAGATATAATAATTTGTAAGGGAATAGTCATTAATTTGTATGATATTACTGTAGCCATTAATTTTTCTATCATCACTTGTAGAGTGTGCGGGCGGGCCAACTGGCAGCCGGCGCCCGCGCCCGCGCCGCGCCTCTGTATATACCGGTACGCGACCTAGCGCTCTGCGTATGTATGTATGTACACTATGGAGATGTTTGTTATGTAAAATGTATTAACATTGCAAAAATTATATATGATCTTATATATAAATTACTATTATAGAAACACAGTATGGAAATAAAAAAGTTGACTCACATGAATTGAATTGTTTAAGTGTATGTGTAAGTAGGCGCCCTCGGCTGTCGTCGGCCGCCTCACGCTACGCGCTGTCCCCGGCCCTAGCCCTAATGGTACTGATTATTCAGTTGCGCAAACTGCATTGGAAATACACAACAAATTTTCACATTACCCAGTTTTTCATTTCGATGCAAGGCCTTGTATCTTTTTCATGTTATAATGTTACTAATACAGTCTGTCCATTTCCATTAATATAATTTTCGAACTAAGTCATATTCAGAAATTGTGACGAAACTTCTCGTGAGTTCATTGAAATCTATAAGAAAAAATATTTGCCCTAGACATTGAAACGGCGATCTTTTAATAGCCATGCAGCCTCGAACTCGTCGCCGAGGAGTGACCGGTAAATAAGGGTGATGAACCGCCGGATCGATATACCAAGTTCAAGTTGGCGCATCGCCATGGCTACCAAATGCACAACATACCTCTGCTCTGAATCCGCCACACCCTTCCACGTTGTTACAGTTATAGATGCTTTATGTAATTAGTGGTAAAATCGTAACAACACTTTGTTACGGGTGCTTGAAGAATTCGTACCATTAAAAATAAATAGTTAAATAACACTATCAGTTTTACAGTGCCATCGTTTTCGTAAAGATTTTAAGATGAGAATGACCGCATCGCGTGTGTACATGCGGCCCCAGCCCTTGCCGAAGATGCCACCAGGTATGGTTGAACTGATGGAAGGACTCACCAGGAATGTTCTCAAGAATAACCCCCCAGATGTATATGAGTTTTGTGCGAAGCATATGCAGAAGTTGCTGGAAATCCGCGATGGGCCTGGTTAGTATCTAATCTAAATAGTAATTTATTTTTATCACTCTTAGTTAGTAACGCAAATTATAATGAAATGTTTGTTTTAGTTTCCAAACGGCCAATGACCCTTGAAGAAAAAGTTGCCAGAGCGCAGCAGAAATTAAGGGAAAAAGCTGAACAACGCAGGCGCACATACGACAAAGAAATAAAGTTGCAATCTGGCAACAAAGACCGCAAGTTAAAGTATGAAAATAGTCAAGAAATTATAGCGCAACCAAACATTGATGAAATAGAGACACAAATTATTTCAGAATCTGTAGCAGAAAGTAATCTCAAAGTTCCTGTGCACCATGAGCATGAATTGCGTGATGCTTTGGAAGTAGAAATATACCATAAATCTAGTGATGATTCGCAATTAAAAGAAGAGGAAATTGAAGATTTAAAAAACACTGAAAACAAGGAAATCAATGAAACCATCTTAGATGAAGCTAAAGTTATTGAGGAGCAACATATTGAGAATCGAGCTCCTGAAGAAAAACCAGTGACGACATCGAATGATTCAACCGTGTCTGAAACAGATAAAGTCAGTACAATGCACAAGTCCTCCAGTATGGGTGAAAATTACATTGAAAATCTAGTACGCATTCGAAAGCCGAGGAGTGTCGAAGATTTCACAGACGACGTTAAAGAAATCGAACAAAAAAATTCATTGATTGTTCAAACTCAATCTGCAGAAACTACGACGCCTAAACTAGTAACTGCGAGGAAATATAGTTCCGAGGATAATCCTCACGATAACTTTGATTACACACAAACCGTGACCAATGAGAGTGCAAATAAATCTGAAAGAAATTATCAAGTACATACTAACCAAACCGAACTCGAAACCGTCACTGATATTTCTGAAATTGAACCCCAAAAGAATGAAAGACAGAATATAATTTTTAATGAAGCCACTTGTTCTACTATTAAACTTGCAGAAGTAAACCAAGGAGAGAATGAGGTTAAAGATCTTGAAAATAACAACACTGAAGCAGTTAACGTTGATGGTATGAAAGAATCAGAAGGAAATCAAAATATGGATGTGAAGTTGTCCGAGAAAATAATTAATACAACCCCTGAAATCACATCAGATGAAAAATTAAACGATGAAAGCAATGTTTTGAAGAACACTGCAAATGAGAATGTACCTGACGATGAAAGTAAACCGGAAATAAAAGTAAACGATGAACAGCATGAACATTATGAGAACACAGCCAGCATTAAAGTCGGCAGTGGTGTCGAAAACTACGTACCTTCAGAAGTTGAAGCAGAAGTCCAAAACGAAAATACTATGGAATCTAAAACCGTTTATCAATATAATGGAGATGAAAGTGGTACTGTTGAATTTTCACTGAACAAAGATGTCGAAGGAGGCATAAAAGAAAAAGAACTGTGCCTAGAATCATTTATACATAAAGGACCAGAAGACACAGGTGATTTCATACACAATAATAACAATAATATCGGTGACGTAGTCATCTCTGAACATAGAGTTTTGGTTGTTGAACTTGCTGACATTAAAGATGATAATGCTTCAGTTCCAGAACAAAATCCCGGAAATGTTGTTGACAACAGGGAATTGAAAGCTAATGGACGCAATTTGACAGACTCGCCAGGTGACGATGAAGATACTGACAAAATTTTTTTATCAGCATCTGGAGCTGATTCGGAAAAATCGGACACAGATCAACTCTCAAAAGATTTAGAACAGACTATTAATGAACGATCAAAAAGAAATTTAGAAAATATATCCGAAGGAATAGAGACTACTTCAAATACCACAGATGTAGGGAAATCTGATAACGAAACTATATCTTTAGACAAATTTAGTAGTATAGATGATAGTGCAGCTGAAGATAGTAACGACAACATTGGAAATGAGATCAAGACGAATGGTAAATCAACTAATTATACACATAGTGCGATGGATTTGGAAACAGCCGCAGTGACTATACAAAAAGTGTTTCGTACATTTCTTTTCAAGAGCAGAGCATCCACGTTTGAGGATTCAGTTAATGAGGATATTAATTTAACAGACGAAGACACTGAACAGGTACGTATTTTATATGACTGAAACAGGCAAATTGTGTCAACTGCAAAACAATTTTGTTAATGCACACTATCGAATGGTTGCAGGTTGATATAGATCTTTTAGTTCCACCACCAACGAATATGAAAGAGCGCAGGGGCATCGCTAGAATTGACACTGTATTACAAACAGTAAACGAAGAAAAGTCTTTGTCCTTATCTACTGATGACTCGTCCTTGTCGAGTGCAGCTACTGTCATACAAGCTCACGTGAGAGGATTTCTTGTCAGAAACAAGCTAAATTCTATTAAAACAGCATCATCAGCTTCATTGGTTACCTCAGACGGACATTCAACATCATTGGAAGCTGAAGTTGACCAAAACAAGCCTAACAAGACAGTCCTGAACATCATTGTGCCTGAAGGAGGGCATTTTGTAAGCAGAGATGAAAGTGTCTTGACTTCGATGGAACTTTCACTAGATGGTAGTCCCCCTTCTTCTGTGAACCTGCATCCATTGGGCTACGATAAAAGCGAACCGAGGAAACAGCTTAAGCGTGGAGATGCAATCCAGTCAATATCTCCTCCTAGTAACAACAGTGGAAAACTGAGTGAAGAGGTGGATTCGATTAAAGAAACCTTGAATAATGATTCCACAGAACAGCAAAAGCCGGTCCCAACTTTAGTTGATGACATAAAGGAAGACACAAATGCCAATAGCCGTGACACGACTCCTACCAAAAGCACTACAGTTGAAACTGTAGTAGAAGCACACAAGTGGAACAAAATGTCTAAAACTGACGCTTGCAAAGGATCCCTAACAAACATGAGTTCAGATGAAAGCGATGTTGTTACTCCGTTTGAAGAAAAAAATTTATCAGATTCTGATAATACATTAGGGTTATTGCATTCGGGCGAATTCCATGACGCAGTGCTGCCCACAAAGCTATCGCGAAGTGACACGTCTGTCGTCCGTGGTGAGTGAAGACATCTTCTATTTACAGGTGATACTACTTTCCGTTATATCAAGGCCATCGCATGAACTGCTTAGATTATTAGCTAGGTAGTTCGTGACTGCTTATTTGAGCCTTGTAATGCAGAAATGTAGTAAAATAGTCAAGTACAGACTAGCAGATGCTCTTAGTTAGATAGTAGTTAGCAAATTTATATACAGTTTTTTTTAAATGAGACAGTATGGAGAAGTCCGAAATCATAGAAGATACTTGGAACCTGTCTTAGGAAGCATTAAGTGTTTTTTAGTGAAAACAAATTTCGCATAGTCAAAATTTTGGTCAACCGTGAGTTTTCCATAAAAATGAATAAAATTGGTAAATTTTTTAGTGCTGATCGGTTGTTTCATGACGGGATCATTTATGGGACGAAAAAACTCGGGACAGCAGAAGTTGGTCAAATTTCTGTTGGTTGGTTAAAACATTATATTTTAGAATAGATGCAAGAACACAACACAATTGATTGAGTTCGACCATAGATTAGGTATCGTTCTTATACCTACGTTTCATTTTAAGCATGATTGAATGTTTACCTACCTGAAGTATTGCTTATTTTATAGTACACACATAAAACATTAAAGCTATAAAATACGTAATGAAATAATCAATTAAACAATAATGACATAAAGCAAAAAATAAAACGCAACGTGACAAAAATATTTAAATTAAAGATAATGAAAGTTGCAAAGGAACGTTTTGGACAAGAGACCTCTTGTCAATGTCGCATTGATATTAAGAACAGTGTGATCATTTGTGGCAGAATTCAGCCATTTGGGCAGATTTAATTTTTATTCATTTTCATTGCTACAGAACATGAAAAGTTATATTAAATGTGGCAGAGTTTGGCAGATATGGGAATATTCGGGCAGTTCTTTATCATTTTTGGGAACAAACTGAAAACTTGTTATTTTCTCCTACTACGAACAAACTTATGAAGCGAAATACAGGACAATGTTATAAACATAACCCATATGAACTTTAAAACCCCGGCTTCTACAGTCGAAACTCAATTAGCTTTTTTGATGCTTTGACAATGAATCACAAGTATTGATAAGTCTCCTCAATGCACGGCGTCAAAAACACTAGGTCACAAAATACATGGGTGTCCCCATCCTTCTTTGACCAACTTCTGCTGTCCCGATTTTTTCGTTCTGTACAATGAAATGATCCCTTATGAAACTGAGTCGATCGCCACCAAAAAAAATTTTGATGAATTTTATTCATTTAATATAGAACTCACGCATGACCAAATAATTGACTATGCCAAAATCGTTTTCACAAAAAAAGACTTAATAGTTCATAAGATAGTTTCCTTGTATCTTCTATGGTTTCGAATTGCCCCATACTGTCCCATTTGAATAAACACCTGTATACATAATTTTTGTGTGGTTCAGCACGGTTTGAAATTTGTTTTACACTTGACTTATAAATAACGCAAATATTTTAATAAATTACATGTTCTAATTATAAATTTTGCTAAACATCTATAATTTTATGGAATATTATATTTTGATGATTAATTAGGTACAGTAATCCTTTAGTCAAAACTAGACGACAAATATGCTGTTTATAATAATTATATTAGATTGTTCAAAATACTTTCTTCTTATTTGCAATCTAATGAGGATTTATTTGTTCCTTCTTCTTTTCAGAATTCAAGAATGTATTGGCGTATTTTTTGATTTGGAATCACACTTAAAAATGACTAAAATCATGGATTTTTAAAATAAGTATTAAAAGTGCTTAATAGACAAATAAAGTAGTCGCATATAAATACGTATTTTATTAATTATACATGTGCATAATTATTTATTACGCGTGGCGGTGGCGGCGTTGGCGGTGCCGTCGCCACATGTGTTACACCATTTCATTCCTTCATGTTATTTTATTTCCAGTCATTTTAAATTCTGTATATACTCGGACGAATAGAGCGCCGCCGGAACTAATAGTGCGTGCCAATAATTCGTTACATGGTTATCATACCATACACGCTGTGTTATATTTGTCTTACAAGGCATATTAGACAAGACTAGTGTTCGGTTATGGAAAAATTTCCATTTTGAAAAGATCATACATGAAGATTCTGATTTAAATCATCAATTTATTAATTAAATTTTTATTGAATTGATATTTGTAAGTCAATGATTGATATTCAATTATTTTTTGTGAAATTACTCCACTAGTTCGTTATAGTTATTAATACAAAGATCGAACACTCGGAAAAAAATCCTTCGATCCGGCCGGTTTGAACCGACGTCTTCTAGCTTACCGTGCCAGACGCTATACCAACTAAGCCACAGAACGAACCAGCGGACCTCACGAATTTTTCTATGTGCTTGCGTTGTCTTTCTATTTGGTTTTTCAACGACTTTTTAGTCATAGCGCCGTCTATGAGAAATCTATGAAAGATTTATCACTCAGTTGTACCTTTACAGCTACCAATCCTGGCGAGAGATGTCGCTATTCGCTGTATTTTAAATAAGTTGATATATCTCGTACATACATTATAATATTTTTTTATTTTATTGACAAGTTTTCTTTCAAAATCACTATATATTTATTACATGTTCACGCAATAATGTAAGTTTGTTTATAAAGGGTTAAAATTTTAGCTGTTTTTGAACATTTTCTTTTGTATACAGTATGGCTATTAGACATTGGTTTGAGAATAATTTAGGTAAATCTGAGTTACCTAAAAACAATTTTGGACCGCTGTAATTGGACTATTCTGTATGTATATCCATGCATTATTTAATTTCTAGACAAAAGAATAAATTAATCGATGTTCAATAGGAACGTTCATAACACACCGATTCATATTTACCTAATTTAAGGAAACTTTTTTCGATATAATATCGAATCACACATTTACTGACAGTTTTCTCCATAGATCATACACTCTAAATGTTTACTCTTTGACTGACAGGTATCTTCTCCGTAGTGGATTCGCTCTGAACTTTTCGGAGGGAAAAGTGTCGTTTTTATTTTGACTTTCAATTATTTTGTGAAATCTAGTTTAAAGTAGAATAGGATAGTGCTATTGTGCCTTAATCGAAGATTAAACCGCGAAATTATACGAATCTCGAACTAAAATACCCGTATCCGCCCGTTTTAAGGAATCCTGAGTTAATCCAAGCACGCCGCCTCAAATTGCCTATCCTCTTTGTGGCGTATCCATATTTACAGAAACATAATTAAACTTCATGTTTAGGCTGATGGCTTTGCCAAAGCCTTAATAAATTTAAAAAAAAATTCTCCGTAGTTTGTGACTGACACTGACAGTGACAGATGTTGTTGAAGTAAAATCGGATCGAACGACGCGCTGTCGTCGTCCGCACAATATACACTGCAACAAGGTACTCTTTGACAATATTTCACTTGAATATTAGCGAAATCCTAAAAGGGAACCTATAAATAAAAAGAAGAAGAGTACTATATGCGTCGTTTCAGCCCTCTCCACAAATTGGAAAGATATAGTTAGGACTATTAGATCTCGAGTGCCTTACTGTCGGTGAAGACGGTCTGATGGTCATCGCATCTAATCTTATCTATCTGTCGACACGTGTAAAGTCAGTTTGTGTGATCGAAGATTTTTTTTAAAAAGCAATAATGCCATTACCTCCAGCTTTGGCTGCTCGCCTTGCGAAGAGAGGTCTTTTAAAACCTAATTTGTTGTCAAACGACGATCACACAGGTCAAATTAATGAAGAAATAATTGCCGAAGACTATGACAACAAGCCTGAAGAACAGAATAATTCTAAAGAACATTTCTGGGAAGGAATAGAAGGTGTTAATGTAGACCCCATCAAAGGGCATAAAGGCTGTCCCAACAAAAGCAATATTTATCATGAATGTTCAAAGTTTTGTGTGAAAAAGTGGAAGCAAGGCAAAACAACTCCAGATGAAAAATATTTGGATAGTAAACGTAAAGTGTTGGAGTTGTGGCCTTTGCCGCCGGGTTGGGAAGAGGTGTATGATGAAGGTTATGGTAGACATTATTTTTGGAATGTTCACAACAATTTAGTTTCATGGTTGCCACCATCGCATCCAAATGCTAGCACTTCTGAAAGTGCTGCACATTTACGCGAGGAGAGGTTACTAAAAGAGGGTGACGAGAGTGACGAGAGCAGTGAGGCTTCAGACCAGGAAGTACCACAACAGCAACAGAAAGAGAAAAAAAGGGATCGTAGAGAAAAAGAGCGTGAGATGGTACATCGAAGGGACAAGAAAAGACCGCGAGTTAAGGACAATGATTTGGATCCAATGGATCCAGCGGCATACTCTGATATTCCACGTGGAACTTGGACTTCAGGATTGGATGCTCATGCTAAGACTGGGGTTGATACAACAGCATCAGGTTCTTTGTACCAAATGAGACCTTATCCAGCTCCAGGGGCTATACTTGCAGCAAATGCTAAACAACAGTCACCTCCGCCATCTCCATAATACAAAGAATTGTAGGGAAATTTGAATCATTTCTTTGTAATTTATTATAAAAGCATCATAGTGCTTATTTTGCAATATGGACAATAAAGAAAATAAGTATTACAATCTTTTCTTTCAATATCACCTCCTGTGCAACGGATCAAATTTGTCAGTGTGTAGCTTGATGTGCGGCCGTCTGTAAATAGTCAGATCTTTTTCTTGACGAAAAATAGAAGATGAACAGGTAATTGGTCTTCGCACTAGGTACACACTCAGCACATTTGCTACTGGAAATTAAAAATTTTAAATGGACATAGTACTCTCTATAAAAATCTACTGTTAAATCTCAGAAACTTCAGGGATGTATACAAAATTGAGATTGGGTTTCATAATTTTTATTTTTTGTAAATTCCATGTACCTGTACATAATTTTGGCAATAAATTGATGTAATTATTAATACAAAGATCGAACACTCAGAAAAAATTCCTTCGATCCGGTCGGATTCGAACCGACGTCTTCTTGCATACCGCGTCAGACGCTATACCAACTAAGCCACAGAACGAACCAACGGACCTCACGAATTCTTCTATGTGCTTGCGTCGTGTCTTTGTACTTGATCTTTCAACGACTTTTTAGTCGTAGCGCTATCTATGAGAAATCTTTTGCATTTATTTATATTTTTTTATTTATCTTTTTGCAGAAATTAATTGCATTTCACGTTTGTTCCCTATTGTTTTTTGCTTCTAGAAATAGATTTTTTCATAGGCCCTTTTGACTTCTGATTATAACAAACTAGTGGAGTAATTTCACAAAAAATAATTGAATTTAAATTCAACACAAATTTAATTTATTATAAGTAAGTTTTATATATTCTACCCCACAACATTGTTTTTTTCTTCCGTGGTTCTAACATAGCCACTATAACCATACTTAAGGCGAGGTATTTGAATGCGAGCTTAGATTTTAGGTGAGGTGTGGGGGACCGCTCTTCGCGTCCCGCAATCCGCGCGCTTAAACGAATACCTATGAATAAAATAAGAACAGGCGGAGCAATTTTGACAAAATTCTGATGTTGACAAGCACCCGATGACGACTGACGGGGCAACGGGCTGCGCGGTGTCATTAAACCGCTGAGCAAGTTCTGAGATAAATGTGAATTTAATAACTATAGGGCTCAACTTGATAACTAAAATTTAGCAGGTTCTCTGTAGTACTTAAACAGAAATATCTCCATATAAAAGTTATGTGCAAAATTAGATATTTTATTCTTAAATAATTCATTATAGACTTATAATAGCCTGTTTTCGGGATTTTACATGATTGGGTAAAGTACGTCCTATCGTGTTACGAATTAGCACATTCTTTAGACAATATACTTAGTGTATTGTATATTTTTTATAAGATCGTTATTTCATAGTAAATACCTGAACCATTTGATCTAGCAAAACAGTTTTTCCTCCCCGCTTCTCCTCAGGAGACTCTGCTTAAAATGCTTTTATGATATATATAGCAGGCCGTGAAACAAACCAAGGCATTTTACTCAAAAGTTTTTATTCAAGCAATACAGTTGTAACTGGTATCATAATATAACATTGATTTGTCCTTGTTGGAAAAGACAAGGCTTATAAAATGCGGATGTATATCAAACACATTGTGTTGATTGCGTAAATGCATCAAGGAATGCTGTTGTAGTTCTACAATGCTTCTAATTTTATTAAGATTAAAATTAAGTATAAAGAGATATATAGGCATAAAATATAAGTTTGTAAAAATCTGTAACAGTCGTTTAGATGGCTACGTTTACTTTTAATGCATATTAATAATACATTCTCCCATTTTCAGATTATAGATTATAATAAACCATTTATAATTTATTACAAACATTAGACCTACATCTAAATTATAATATGCATTGACAAAAATCAGATATAGGCATTATAATTAAGTTAGATTCCTTAGAAACCATAATTTATATTAAGTCATTAGACCAGTCTTAAGTGTTTACTTTCCATTAGTATGTTTTTCTTTAGATACGTGAAATAGCAAGTCGTCTGAGGTGATGACGCCAATGGGACGTTGAAGAGTTGGTGATTCTGTAAAATAAATAACACTTGTCAGTTTGTGTAAATATACTTTTTTTTAAATAATACTACTATAATAGTATAATATAATACTGCTTAATCCACGCTCTCTCCGTGCGGAGCCAACTAAGACAACTTTACTCACAACTTATTTTTTGTTTCTTACAATAATAAAGTCGTACAGGTGTTTCTAAATAGTAAAATTATTCCTGGCTGCCCCCCAACTGGTCAGCTGTTTGTCGTGATTGAGACAACTAATTATATTGTATTAATGTCACATGCAACTTTTATTTTCGTATTTACACGGACATGCGTATTACAATTTGATTATTATATACACATTATTAAACTTTTTGCGTAGTTGAAACTTATCAGTACGACGGGATATTTTTTAAGCTCTTATCAACAATTTAAGGATCTATTATATAAAATACAAATTATTTTTTGTATCTTAACTGTAAACATGGCTTATAACATGTCTTCTCACGAAAAGCGTGGTAAAAGTTTTCAAAGATCTACAATGGACTTTAAAAGCTCATAACAATTATTAGCAGTAGAGCTTTTTGTGAAAGATTTCGTCGAGGGTAGTACTGCCTACCTTATCTATTTCTGCAGCTAAACAGTAATGTTAGCGTTACTGCTGTACATGGTACTTGTCTCAGGGTGATGAACGCAATGGCAGTGCCCCTCAGATTTTTTGAAATTGGTTAAAAAAATTAAAAAAATAGCGGCCACGGATTTGCAAAGTACTGAAAATTTTGTTGTGTAGGTAGGTTTCTTAAACAAGTTTATAGGTTTTTTTATCTTTCGTTATCATTACTTATGAGCATACCATCGTCTTCTTCTTTGTTCCACTCTTCAATTCGTGAATTTATTTGCGCTTTAGTTTCAAGTTCTTTGTTATTTACCTTGTTTCAAAGTTAATGTTTTGTTAAATGGGTAAGAGTGGTCACACACAGCGACTTTTGGCAGCGATGTAAAACGCGCGTTCGTGAAACTCGCTACACTTACAATTTATAGGCGATTGCACCGACGCAAACGCGCGATTGCATCGGTGCAATCACTTATAAATCACAAGCGTAGATATGTAATTCCGCGTTGGTATCGATACAGTCGCGCGTTTGCATCGCTGCTTAAAGTCGCGCGTGTGTAACCGCTCGAAGAGTGGGTAGGCCATCAGGTACATTGATAACCATCGCCAATGAAAAACCTTTTCGATATCAAGGGAGTAAGTAACCTTGATGTCACAAAGGCTTTATGTATCTGTCTGTTTCTCTTTCTTTGTGCCTGTCATTTCGTAGGCACTCCTTATTCGTCATTCCATACGCACACGATTTCTGCGTAGACAGACTGACATCCATGGTACCAGTAAAATATAATATTAAATAAATAAATATTAGACCACACACACACATACGTTGCTCTGATCCCAAAGTAAGTAGATAAAGCACTTGTGTTATGGAAATCGGAAACAACGACGGTACTACAAACACCCAGACCCGAGACATAGATATAGAAAAGTTAGTTTTTACACTGACCCGGTCGGGGATCGAACCCGGGACATCAGAGATGGCGACACCATGAAAACCGGTGTGGAAGCCACTTGACCACGGAGGCCGTTGAATATTAAGTAAGTAATTTATTTCTATATCACCTGATTTGACAATGACGACGAATGGCGCTATGTCGAGTGTGCGCGAGACCAAGCCAAGCGTGGGGCTCTGCGAGAGGTCCAACTTGTAGTACTTTTTTACGGTGAACTTGTCCAGGCCGTCATTGTACGAGCTTGACAGGTTAGCCAGGCGACGCCGCGTATTGTCTGCCGTGAACACACCTATTATCGATCTGAAATTATTTAAAATTACTCGATAAGCGCTTTTATTATACCCCATTGGCGTGTGGGATAATATTAATATTCCTTCATTGAACCTTTGTCACTAGACAAAGGACATATAAAAACAGACATTAAATGTTCATCACTAGTTTAGCTTTTTCACCACAACAGGATTTTTTTTACTTTCTTTTTTATTTTTTTACTAGCACGGAGCGTGTAACAGCAAAACAAATACCGGAAGAAGAATACAAAATTATACCATGGTAATAAATCTATAACTAAATAATCGTTTATTAATAATAACCACGAGTCTCTGTTCTTCAGTTTCTCTGAGAAGTTTTGTGGCACATTTAAAGCAACTAACAGAGATTTGTAAATTTGCATGGGTTTTAAGCAAAGATACCATCTCACCATTGTAGAAACTAAAGTTCGAAGTCATGGTCAAAAAACTTGAATCAATAGAGAATATTTCGGATTCAATCATAATTTGTTTTATTGCACACACATTAAATTAATTTATCATGTCTTTTTAGTATCTGTGGATTCTTTGAAAATGGTCAAAACTAGAATAATAAACACAATCAACGAAAGTATCAGGGTAAACAACATTTAAATTTATTTTTAGTGAAGACTAATATAGTTGACATTTTTGATGTTTGGATTTTTATATGTGATTTTAGCAATGATTTGTATACGAAAAAAGACAGATGTGTTACTAGCGTCCGCGCAGTGACGATTTGAATCTCAGTCAATACACCGACCATACATTCAATCTGCGTCGATCAAAGAGACGAACGTGACAATGACATTTGTAGAATTGCGTCATTTTATTCAAATTTCAAGAACACACAGAATCACATTTTGCAAAAATATTTACGTTATTGTTATATTTTATTTTATAAATAACAGGTTGCCAAAATTGAAGATAGAGTAATAGTAGTAATTTAGTAATAGATTTTTTTTCTGGAACTCCAGCCATAGATTCTTTTTTGAATGTTATGGCAACAGAGCTTTAACTTTTTGACAATGTCAAGTTAAAAGGTATGGAAACAAGATTATAATGGAAAAAAATTGGAAGAATTGCAGGATTTGGAAAAAATGGATCAAAAGTTGCTATATAAATATTATAAATATATAAGGTTAAGGTTATAAATTAATATATACATATTAATCATATTCTAATATCATTGTCGAGGATAAAGGAAGATAAAACATTATAGTAGGTACATGGATGTGATAATAAACAGGACAGACGGGTAGGAAATGGAACATTCAAGGCTGTTAGGGAATTTAGGAAAGAGGAACTATCATTTATAAATGCAGGTACGAACCAGTGTTGGGCAAAATTTTATTGTTCAGGCAATTAAAGATTGACAACAGCAATTAACAATTGATTAATCAATTGTTAATCGGGCATATCTATAATTAACAATTAATCAATTTTCAATCTTTACAATGTTTATGAATAACAATTAAAACTGACAATTATGATAAATTTATAGGGCGTGTAAAGTATTGAAACAAATATGTATGTAGCAAGTAAAAGACTAATATAATAGCTGTCTCTGTGGTCGAATACAGCATGGGCAATATAGTATTTGGGGGTACTCTCGTAACGAATATGGCACTCCTTTCTGAATCCAAGTTGGCGGGCACGATTTTTCAAATAATGGCAAGTTGGGTTTTCTCATTCACTCACTCATCATATTGCATTTACTTGAAAAGTCGTGTCCGCCACCTTGGATTTAGAAACAGAATCTCAAAAAATAATATATTTTAAATATATATGTAAATTTACATGCCAAAAACATCAACTACACTCCTACATTAATAATAACTCTTTATTGCACAAAGAAAAGATACATGAAACACAAGTTATAAAGGACATATACAAAGGTGAGCTTATCTCTAGAAGAGATCTCTTCCAGCCAACCCTAGCCTAGGTGAAAAATGAAGGCTGCGGGACTAATTATTGTACAATAAAATTAAAATTTAAATGTGAGTAAAAAAAAAATATTTAATAATATATATATATATTATTAAATATTTATATATTATTATATATATATAAAAATAATATATATACATATAAAGGATGATGATATGATATGATATGAGATAATATATGTACATATGACAGACATACACACGTACATGAACTTTATATACATAAATACAAACATAAGCAGAATATATATTATAATCTAAACAAATTAGTACTTACAATATATGTTACCTATTAACTATCTAACGCGTTCGACAGGTAGTGCTCTTTTAATTTATGTTTGAAAGATGCCACCGATAGACTGTCACGAATGCCAGCAGGCAGTTTATTCCACATACGAGTTGCACTTACCGTGAAAGAGTTGTGGAAGAATTTCGAGTTGGATTGAGGATTTATTAGTAATCTAGTGTCACAGGTACGTTTTGGGCGGGAACTGGGGGATAAGGGAGAAAAACGGGAACATAGATAATGAGGAAGCTGGGGGTAATGTAGAATTTTGTAAAGGAGACAAAGAACGTGCATATCTCGGCGAAGTCGGATTGGTAGCCATTTCAACTTAGTCCGAAATTCAGAGACACGGTCATATTTCCGTAAACCGAATATGAAACGGATTGCCAGATTTTGTAGGCGCTCCAGTTTGTTAAGCAGCTCCTCAGTAGCATCCAAATAACAAACATCGGCATAGTCGAGAAGAGGAAGTATTAAAGACATTAATTTAACGTAGAATTATTTTTTTGTTCAGATTGGAAATAATAGTAATAATAATAACACAACACACTCATAGCCCCGCACTAGAGAAAACCTGTGTCGCGAGTGCCATGGACCACACATGGACAACCACAAATTACACCCAAAACTCACGAGAGAAATGTAGGCCGTACACATATTTCTCTTGGCCTGGGAATCGAACCCAGGACCTCTGCGTACCAATCCAGCGTGGTAACCGCTCGGCCACGGAGGCAGATGAGATGAACATACTTTGTGTGGAGTAACATAAGACACATGTCTTTGATTGAAATGAAATTGTGAAATATCATTTTCTGGGACGTAACTAAAGAGTTTATGCACTCTACAGATTTCAAAATGTCTTCCAATTTTGTTTGACATCACTCGGTAAAGTATCACTGTCAAGCACTTCAGCAAATATATCTTGTCACTAATCGTTATGAGATCATTTTCGGGTCGATGTTTAGATGCTTTAACGTCGAATTTATCGTCGTCAATTGGTACGATTTTGATAGAATATTAATTTTATATGTTGAAAGGATCGGGGCACACCAAACAAATCTACTTATTAACTTAGAAATAGCATTGTTCCAAAGTAGATGATTCTATTTGATTTATAAATATTTTTGACATTGGTTGATAACAAAATAAATTTGTTTTTCTTTTCTATTGGATTTTACTCATTACCTTCTTTTTAGAATATTCATTCCGTTTAACAAAATCATAATCTTAGTCACCATAGGTCCGAAAAAGGTGTTCCACATATAGATACATGTATAGACATAGTTACAAGGAGACTTAATTACTTCATAATTTTTACGAATTCCGGATTTCCGGAAATGATTTTACTGCATCGTAAAATATTAACTCGTAACTAATTAACTATCGTAACCACGGAAGAAAGTTTTTATGAGGTCTGTGATCGTATCTCTTTGTCGCTCCTATACATGTATCATCGAGTATATAACCAGTTCGATGACATGTATCTAACGTGGATCTCCTTTTTCCGACCAGTGATAATCGCCTATTCATATGACGCACGATTTTTTTTTAAAGTTTATAAATGTTGTGGAACAATCGATTTCTACGAACGTAACATTATCTTATTTGTTGTGCATAATATCTTAGGTTTTTAGTTCTTTAATTTTATTCCGTCCAAGGTTTTTAGTGATTTTTGTTATCTTTGATTCAATAACAGTTTTGGTTGCAACCAAAGAAAATATATCGCAGTTGTGACAGGTCGGAATATATGTAGAAACGAGCTGTGATGGGTACTTTATAATTTCAAAACCTTTCTTTATATTTTTAACCGACTTCAAAAAAGGAGGAGGTTCTCAATTCGTCTGTATGTTCTTTTTATATGTACGTTACGCGATAACGCATTTGTGAACCGATTTGGATGATTCTTTTTTTGGTGGAAAGAGGATAACCTCAGCAATAGTCCCATTTAAATTTGAAGAAAATATTCCACCTCTAAGGGTGGCAAACTAGGAGATGAATCAGTTTTCGCGCACTTTCCGGTAAGCTATTTCAATAAAACTTGGCAAATAGATGTAATTCCACGAACTTTTGAAGTCGGTTTTTGTAGTACTCTCTACTGTCATTTTTGATGTTTGGATTTTTATTATGTGATTGTAGCAATGATCTTGTATACAAAAAAGACAGATGTGTTACTAGCGTCCGTTTAGAGACAGAGAGAGAGTCCGCTTAGATATTATTTATCTCAAATTCCAACGCGGAGTAAGAACACAAATTCTGGATCCTGTATAAATTGAAATCTAGGGAATTAGATACTAAAACTTAAATGCCTATTTACAAAAAATGCAGTACAAACGTTGTTACTTCCAGCCTTTTATGTTTTGCCACTTCACAGACATCCCATACAATGAGGTAAAATAGTGCTTACCCTTTGTCATCGACAATATTCACGAGGAGGGCGCGGCTTTGACGCAGCGCATTCAACGCTTCCTCCACAGAGCTCTTGTGAGACACACTTGGCGTCTTTTGGATCCACTCATCCGAAACTTTGTTCTCCCACCACCTGAAAAGTCGAATTAGATAATGAACGTGCTAAAGTTCCGTGACGATCGATCGAAAAGCAGCGATATGTGTTCAAAATCAATGAGTGTATGTCAAACTCGTTATAATGTTTGTAAACAAAAAAGAACGTCTCAGGTACGGATGTTGTTTCCGTTCCTTCATTGTTTACAATAGCCAGTTTAGGTACTAATTTATCATGTAAAGCTAAAGCACTTGTGTTATGGAAATCGGAAAAACGTATGTACTACAAACACCCAGACCCGAGACAATATAGAAAAGTGAGTTTCCTATGATCCAGCCGGGGATCGAACCCGGGACCTCACAGATGGCGACACCATGAAAACCGGCGTGCAAGCCACTCGACCACAAAGGCCGCCAAAAATAATTCCCCTAGTTTCCTGTAATTATTAAATACAACGATCGAACACAAAGAAAAAATGTTTCTTTCTTTTAAGAAACAAGAGTAAAGTTATATGATTGACCAGTTCGAATTTCCTATTGCTTTGGTAGTTTGTCATGAATATTTCAAATAAGGAAAAAGTACATATTTGGAGGGGACGAGAAACATCTTAAAAATTGGAAAATAAAAAATTTGAAAATATAAAATAAAACTTCATTCAAAATAATATCTACTTGGCGCATGTCGGGTTGTGCATACAAAACAACTTCTTCAGAACCCTCTAACACATGGCAATAATACGTCATCTAAATTTTAACATCAAAATAAAATAGCTTAAGACTTTGAGAAACACCAAATTTGGCGCATAACCACCATGTCTTTTCAAATCTTGTGCAGTTTAGGTTACAGATTATCACGCTGAAAGCGAACATCGATAGTTGATCTTCATTATTGCGTGCAGATAAGGGCTGTGTGCCGTTTAGCGTGGTAATAACCATGTAATAACATGCATATACGTATTACTTACTTTTAATGGCAAACCATAATCTACGATTTCAATGCGAATAGCCAACCAACTTCGTCTAAAGTAGTTATAGCAACTATAGAAAATTATGTTATGCGAAGGAAACTCTACACATCGCACCCCTCATGGAAGAATGGCATATGTGAAGTTACGTCAAAAATTTTTATTGCTCCATTACTACTAATATTGTCGATAGAGTTACAAGAATTGGAGAGGACGTGGGTTATATTTTTCTGTATCTAATAGTGCTCCATTAGATACAGAAAAACCATTTTTGACGTAACTTCACTTATGCCATTCTTCCATGAAGGGTGCGACATGGTGATATGAAAACAAACATGGCAAACGAAACACACTGTCAAATTTTTTGGTCATGCGGTTTCCTTACATTTTCTATGCAAGTAGGTAATAAATAAAATTGTTAATGACAATGTGCTGTGTCTTTACATTTAACCCTCGCCTAACAATAAAATATTGTATGGGTCGAATTGGAACAGTCCATGCGAGAGTGGCATGGCACTGATGAGGTGTCCGATAACTTAAGCATAATATTGATAAAACATTTAAAATTGTATCATAATAATGGCGGTCGGCGTAGCGCACGTCGAAACTACTTATTTAAATAACGCACCTTTAGAATGAAAGTTACCCTACACAAAATTCCAAAAAGTCGCTTTATTACTCAACTTTTTTATTGTCGTTTGAACTAATAACAATAAATTCTTTCGTTTTCACTAGCTAAGTAAGATGTTATGGCTTTAAGCTGTTTTAATTCTAAAGCAAGACCTCTAATTAATAAAGTAAGTCTCGTTTGCAAAAAAATTAAGATGATTTTTGGAATGAAAACGGCTCTGTTGCTGATTTGTCACTTTTTCACCAATGGTGGTGGCGTGCTGACTTTGTAGACAACACTAAATGCGTTATTTACATACCGGTACGGAAGTAGAATTACAAACATATGAAAGAGATGCATATAGTGAGTCTGTGCTATTCGAGATTTAATGGGTTATTTGCAGATTGTCAATCTTATGAATAATCTAAAGTCGTTTTACGGTATAAAATATATTTTTTTAATTGGTCACTTTCATTCTAAAGGTGCGAAGTAGTTGTAAGGTTGAATTACCACATTTCCTTGCCTTGCACAGGAGTGCATGGTTTCTTTATGTCAATATAGTGATATTTGATCTATCACTTACCACAAGCCGACGTTCTTGGGAACTGACTTGAAGCCGCGCACCTCCATCCACGGATCCGAGATGAACTTGGTCATGTAGTTGCGGATGTTGTCCGGCAGCAGCACCACGCACTTTTGTCCGCGCTTCAGCATCTTCGCGGATTGGATGGCAGCCCACATAGCCGAGCCGCTACTGCCACCTATATGTAGGTAATAGACTAATTTTTAAGCCGGTTTATGTTTCTTTAGGTTATCGAGAAGCCTAACCTAACCAAAATATGGGACGACCCTTAAAGTACGTTATACTGGTATTTGATTCCTTGGATTATAGGTTCACTAGGGCAAGAGTGTCTCCTTCACGTCACACTGCTACATTAAAAACAATTAAGAAGTTTCTTATTGAAGTTGGTTAACGAAATGTTACTTTACCTAATAAGAAATTGCCTCGATTTTTTTCAATAAATCGTACCCTAAAGCCACATGTGATCATGCGTTAAAAGACTTTTATCGCATGAAAGTCAATAAAATAATAACTTACGTAAAAAAATTACGTAAATCACACTGTTAATACAATAGTGTATTTACTCAAAAAGTGTATTGTGTCAGAATCTGTGAAAAACAAATTACTCACTTCCCGTGAGAGACTATTAAAATTTATGTCTAGGTTAAAGTTTATTAGAGACATCTAAACAAATTCCTACTCGCCAAACATTTTTAAAAATAAAATTGGAACAATGACATCATATTTTTGAGTAAGGACTGTTTAGTTCAGAAGTAGCTCATAAAAATTTGACTCATTTTGAGTTAAGTAGAATTTTTTTGTTTGTTACAATATTCTAACAACGGCTTTTTTTTACTAGAATAGTTACTACGTTCAGCAATAGTATTATCTTGAATTTCACATATTTTGAGTTACAACACTATTGTAATAATAGTGCGAATGTTAAATTGTATATCTCTCCTATAGAAGCATAAAAAAGTTATCGACTTATTTCGTACATAGCACCTTTAATCATCTCTCCTGATAAATTGTCATTTTGCTGATGTGGTTTTACAAGGATGCGAAATGAGCAAGTCTGCACAAGTCTTTTTCTTATTTTTTTAAATATATAATAGACACACGCTTGGCCACAATCTCACCTGATGTTAAGCGACGATGAGACCGACGATGGGACGCGTTTGTCTAAAAAATGCCTATTCACTCTAGCCTTGAATAGCCCCAAATTGTACTTTTCGGGAAATACAGATAGAGCCGGTAGAGCATTTGCCGACCTCGGTGACCCAACAGTTCTTCGGGTAGTGGGCCTAGAGTGAATTCCGTTGCTCTGGTACTTATTATTAGTACTATAATAGTACCTACAGGGAATTCCCTATTTTTGGACCAGGCAATTGGTATCGTCGGGCACATTATATTATTATTATCTTAAACTATTATAGCCTTTAATTTTTTAATAACTATTTATTATTATCGAGTTCTTAGGTTTTCGCGATTGTTACACATAGGAAATGAAACTATTTTTCCGGATTTAAATCGCGTATATTCCATGGTCAGTCAACTGTGACCATGGGACCTGTAAAGGGCCCGAAACGTTGGATGGTTGAAAAAACAAATATACGCGATTTAAATCCGGAGAAATAGTTTCATTTCCTATATTTATTATTAACTATTATAACCTAATACCGTCAAAATATACACATCAAAAATGTCCACGGATCAACAAGCAAGTTTTTGCCTATTAATGAAAATCAGATTTTTTCATTATTTTTTTCAACACCAATGGTTTTTTGTTAAATTTCATAATTAAAAATAATAACTTATTTAATATGTTTATATGGATGTTTTTATTTCATTTTAAAAGAATAATCAAATATTTAAAACCTTGATCCCCAGAGATTTTTGATGAGTGTATGTGTGTACTCTTTTTCTTCTTTTAGTAAAAACAAGCCCCGAGTTACTCAATTAGCTACTTTGAAAGGTAACTTAGCTATATTAATTTAAAGTAGTCAAGATATACACGGTTTTTGTTAAGAAACTTGCCAACCGAGTTAACTTATACACTGATCTTGAATATGCCGTAACTAATGAACAATTGCCCATAGGTGTAGTGAAGCGAACAAGAATGCCAAAGCCAACAACAACAAGGTAATCAGATTGAATTTACAATGCAATGTATCACGTTTTAATTAGGTTGCAATATCAGGCAATATAATTCTAAATATAGAATGTCACCTAAATACTATCGAGTAAGTGATCTCTGAATGATGATATGAATGAAATGATTATGTAATGAAACAAACAAAGAGCGTATGGACACGTAACACGTGTCACAGCACGGGAGGGCTGGGTCGGGACAGGAGCACCTCAAGCTTGACGCTTAAGGTTTAAATTAGACTCTATAGCGCTTGTAACAACAAAAGTTCAAAGTCCAAAGTGACAAGCTTTATATGCGTCATATTTCAGATTCAAACATTTATACGACAGAAAAGTAAGAACATACAAAATACTAATTTTTGTTTCTTGTAATAAAAATAATTAGTAGAAACAACAATAAGAAAAAGAATTACTGTATTATTATATACGTCGTGGCCGTTGTTGCCAAGTCTCGAGTCGAAAATTACGTTACATTTTTGCTGCAAAAGTTAATTTTTTTTTCTAATCAAGAAGTCTAAGGGTCGTATTCTAGAACTCTACTCAATGCTCAAGTCAGGATTGCAATTGAAACATAAGCACTGGAAATACGACTCTAATAGCAGGGAGTTGAGTATGATTTCGAGTGCTTTAAACCATATACAAATCGTGAATTGGGCATTGAGTAGAGTTCTAGAATACGACGCTAAGTGTCGTATTCCAGAACTCTACTCAATGCTCAAGTCAGGATCTGAGCAGACTTGAGTATGATTTCAAGCACTGGAAATACGACCCTAATGGCAAGGAGTATGATTTTCAGTGCTCACTGCAATACTCAAGTCCTGACTTGAGTATTGGGTAGAGTTCTGGAATACGACCCTAAGTATTATGGATATTTACTCGCTCGTATATATGTCAAAATTTAAATAATAACCCCAGTATAGAGTACTAAAAAACCGACCTCAAAAATTCGTGGAATTGCATGTATTTTTATTGAAATCGGTTACGGGAAAGTGCGCAAAACCGGATTCATCCCCTAGTTTGTCACCGTTAGAGGTGGAATATTTTCTTCAAATTTAAATGGGACCACTACCGAGGTACTGGCCTTTCAACAAAAAAGAATCAACAAAATCGGTTCACAAATTATCGAATTATCGCGTAACATACATACAAAAAAAATACAGTCGAATTGAGATCCTCCTTTTTTGAACTTGGTTTAAAATTAAGTATGCTCAAGAAAATGGGTAGATTTAACCTTGTTTTTTGTTAAGTAACTTTGTTTATTTGGGTGCGTTCGTAAATATTTACAACTTACAATAACAAATACAGTTGATTTCACAAAATCTTAATGTTCTCAACGTTACGAAAATTGTTTTAAATAATCTCAGTACAGAGTACTAAAAAAACCGAACTCAAAAGTACGTGGGATTACATATAATTACCAAGTTTTATTGTAATCGGTTACCGGAAAGTGAGCAAACCCCGATTCATCCCCTAGTTTGCCACTATACGGGACTTGACACAGGAGATAATAAAAATCGGTTCTCATTAAAATAATTGCTTCTTATAATAAAATTTAGGTGCTATTTATAAAAATGAATCTTCATGCGTGAACAGCCACCATTAGAGGTGAATGATTTTCTTCAAAATTAAATGGGACCACTATAGAGGAACCCTCTTTCCAACAAAAAAGAATCATGAAAATCGGTTCACAAATACCGGATATATCGCGTAACATACATACAAAAAACATACAGCCGAATTGAGAACTTCCTTTTTTTGAAGTAGGTTAAAAACAAACCTTACTTACATATTACATGGGAGGGTGAAAAGTAACGAGAAAGGTAAGAAATAAACCATCTGGCAACACTGGTCATGGTGTCCAAATGGTAAATGTTCTTCAGTCCGATTAACTAAAGTTTAAAATGTCAGATTACAGTGGTCACATTACAGACTGAACGGTAACTACCACTGTATAGTGAAATATTATTTGCACCGATTCGTCTTATCGCTTCAACTTTAGAGTACAATAGGACATAATCTCAGTACAGAGTACTAAAAAACCGACCTCAAAAGTTCGTGGAATTACATCTATTTGTCGAGTTAAATCGGTTACAGGAAAGTCCGTGAAACCAAATTTATCCCCTGTTTTCCACCCTTAGAGGTGGAATATTTTGTTCAAATTTAAATGGGACCAATAGTAAGGTACCCTCTTTCCAACAAAAAAAGAATCGTCAAAATCGGTTCACAAATCCGGACTTATCGCGTAACATATATACAAAAAAAACATACAGTCGAAGAGTAAGCCGTCTCTGTAACGCACATGCCAACTGTGTAGTGCAAACAAGTAATGTAAACACTTCTACGCATTGGCACTTAATTTTAAACTTGGTAATCTTAGTGCGGAACGGATTTTTTTTAATTGGTAAGAAAATAGTAAGGGCTCGATCCCATTATGTCGTGACGGCAGATAGTTTACTTGTATATTTACCACTTGACTATAGTCGTGGGAAATGATCTCTATGTGAACCTTACATGATCTGCCAATGTACATCACATATGTAAAAACTGTGTGCACTTTATGTTTATAATTAGGTTAAATTGCACTAGTGTTAGTTTTTTTTACGATGAAATACTTTTATTTTAATTTTATTTTTGTTAAACAATATATTTTCAAATGGAAGAAAAACGTTTCGTTTGTGAATTTTGGCATTTGTTTAATTTTTTATTGATTGTTTTTCATTGACCTGACTTTAGATTAAGAAAATTACGACTGATATAAACAGATATTGATACATATATTCCTACCGTTAATCTTATACAACACAGCATTTATTAAAGTTAAAATAATAGTTTGAATAAAAAAAATATTATAAACATATCATATTCTGTATTTTATCACCATTCCAAAATGCATTGGTCCATTGGACCCACGACTATAGAAGCGTTATTTTTTTCTACGACTAAGTTAAGGGTAAAATAAAGTTGTTCACACATAGAACAACACGATTAACTGTCGTCGACGAACGTGTTGTTTTTTGGCGTTGCGACGACAGCTTGTCGTGACAATAGGAAGAGCTAGAACGACAGTCCGACGATAAATAAAACGTCATGATAGATAATCGCAGCTTCAAAAGATTTTGTTGTGCAAACGACATAGCGGCTGCCGTGGATCTAATAGGAACGTTACAACATCGACAGTCGTTCAACGATAAAATAAACGTCCACGACACAGTCACGACAGTTAGTCGTGATATGGGAACAGGCTAGACGCGACAGTCATCCAACAATAAATAAAACGTTATGACATAATGGGAACGCGCCCTTACGACATAACAGAAACGCGCCCTAATTGTAACAGTATTATCGCACCTATTCATAGCCCCGCACTGGGGAAACCCTGTATCGTGGGTGCTATGGACACACACATACACAACCACAAATTACGCCCATACGAGAGAAAGAAATGTAGACCATACAAATATTTTTCCCGGCCCGGGAATCGAACTCGGGACCTCCGCGTGACAGACCAGCATGCTGCCCCTTCGGCCACAGAGGCATTTAGAAAAGAGTCTGAAGTCGATACAAAGTACCTAGTAGTTTAAAAAAACGACCTAATGAGTAAATAAATATCCAAAACAAGAATTCAGAAAAAGAATTTAACGCACCCATGACTCGTACGATGGACCAAATTATTAAGTCGATGTACATTTTAAGTAAAAGAAGTGTTAATGGTTTTATTACCCTATTGTAATAGAAAAGATAAGTCATTTCTAGAGAACATTCGTCGGTGCAAATAACATTTCTTCATCTATACCTAACGGAAGCACGATTCTCGAGAGCGACGTGGATTCCTGGGATATCCATAACTAGTTTATAAGATTCTATTTACGTCAGCTCTGAGAAAATCTATTCCCGCAAAGAGAGTAAGTAAGTAATGTTTGTGAATCTTCTATTATTGTAATCTGATAATCTGATGTTTTGTAACACAATACTGCCCTGTTATGTTTTGAATGTGATGTTTTTGTAATGCAATATTGCCTGTTTATCAGTCAGCTATTTGTTATTTGTGGTACATACGTCGGCGGAGGTTCACACGCATATAAAGTTACCATCCATCCGGATTTGTCTGGACATATCCTTTTTTTGATCTCCTTTCTGGATTTGTCATTTGTCTGGGTTTTTGGGTTTAGTGTAATAACTTTCGGAATAAAAAGTAAACTATCCATCCACCTGGCAATCCTGTAGACTCTAACTTACTGCACTGGATAATAACGGATTATCACCAGCAACTAATAAAAACAAAGAAAACCTTGTCTCGCCGCGCCGGGCGACTTCACCCCGTTACTCGTTTTCTTATCTACTCACGTGTACCGCGCCGACACGAACGGTTTTGTGGTATTTTTTTAGATGGGTTTGAATGAATAGTAACAGTCATCCAGACGCATTTTGTAATAATATCGATAACATTGAATAAAACTCGATTTACGACAAAAATTTTGCAATCTGGAGGCTTGCCTATCTCTGCTGCCGTGTGCGAAAGAGATTTTCAATTTTATTTTGTTAATAAAAAGTCTCGACATTCTTGCATATGTCAGGTTTTTCGTCCGGACTAATCAAATTTCGGAATGGTAACTCTACACGCAGACCTTGCTGACGTTAAAAAACTAAATTCGAACATTGTGTAATTTATAAGATGTTATGTCAACGCCAACATAAGGAGTATTTTTATCCATCAAAACTAACAATTATTTGAATATTTTCATAATGTTGACCTGCAGACGCATCATTCGACACTGTATGCTAGAACACACTTATAAGAACTACAAACAACTTAAGCAGCTATAAAATACAAGTTTGAAGGTCCAGCGCACTTTCAAGTCCTAGATGCAAACTTACCGCAAAGTATTCCCTCTTGTTCGATGAGTTTCCGCGCCATCTGCAGGGAGTTTTTGTCATCTGTCTTCACCCATTTGTCCACCACACTTCTATCCAGCACCTCTGGCAGGAAGTCGTAGCCCAGTCCTTCTACCTGTTTCAATTAATTACGTATTTTTTATTTTGTACATTTCTGTGATTACAATAATCAGTTTATTTATCTTATTATAATAATTCTGCCCTC